ATCAACTCACGAATCCGGCTCTGTGTGTCTAAATACTCGCAGCTTGCCGGCAAAACGGCCCAACATTCGCAGGAAATCTTGCAGTGTGAAAGGGGCTAATAACACAGACTAACTAATTGATGGAGGCAGCAGTAGACCAGCAGCTCCTGTGTGCAGCTAGCTTAAATGACTGTTTTTTTCAATGGAGTCTGGCAACAGTGACGAGGGCATAGATGGGGAGGTGAAGCCTTTAATGGCTTCCCTGTCTGAGGTCAAGGTAAAGAGTTGAAAATATTCTAACTATAGTGTTCACTTAAACTGATGTTGTTTTGTTTCTAAGATATGTTTCACTGCTGCCCTTACATACAGCAGTACATTGCTCAGCTTCTGTGGCGGTACTCCTGTCTGCTTCTCCAAACTGGGGATGTGCCAACTGACAGCTACTGTAGGTACACTGACTATGGATAAGTACCTCATACAACCCCACTTCAAAAAATGTTAAACTACCCCTTTAAAACTCATTATCAGCTGCTTATTATAAGTGATAGGATCCAACATGAACGCACTATTTTCTGCCAGTTAGAGGAGGAGTTGGAGGAGTTAGAGGTTTCAGTTGCTTCACGTGAGCATTTTTCTGTATTTCTGTTTTTCCCCGCCCTCTTTTAATTCAACGTTTGAATTAGAAACTGATGACAGTTGGTGGGTTGTGTGGTTGCTGTCAATCAGATCTAGTCAAACCACACCCACACAGTCCTAATGCAGCAGACAAACTGAGTTTTTAGTGTGAAAGTCTCTTAGTAAAGCCTAAAAATGAAGAATGCAGTAGTTTTGGTGTCAGAAAATCAAGCTCATACATGAACGTGTTTAAAGAAACTTTCCTCCTTCAGCGGATGAATGTGAAAACAGGCTTTTAGTGTCAAACTGCACATAAATCATTCTGCAGAGTGAAGGTCAAACATCCAAGTGATGTAACAATAAGCGAAACATTTCTGAGTGGAGAGGGACTTTAGGATATAAAAGCAAATATGCAAAACATGTTGTTCTTGTCTACTATTCAGAGGAATTTCAGTAAACTATGTGACCTCGCCGGTTGTAGAATGCAGCAGATAGTTTACTCTTTGCACTCAAAAAATTCAAAAAGAAGGAACCATCCCCGTTTTTTTTTCCAAACAAGAAAACCGCAAGCTTCAAAAAAAGGAATAATTACTCAATCTTAGCTGCTGGCCCTCCCACCTCCACCCTCCTAGTTCCCCCCAGAGGGATGCAAGTGCGTCAGTGAGGGGTTGGAAAAGAGGAGAAGTAAAGCCTTTTGACTTTCAGGAAGGAAACACATCTGGGGAATAAGGAAAGAGAGAACGGGTGAAAAGAGGAATTAGCGTGGAGGAAGAGGAGCCGGCCAAAAATAGTCAGCCTCCGCTCAAGCCTTGCCTCGCCAGAGCCCCTACACCACACCTCCTGCCACTCAAGCATTAGTCAGTCCTGACCTATCCCTCAGTGAGTGACTAACTTCCCCGCTGAGCCCCCCACAAGTCATGAACCTCACTTCCTCCCAGGTGTTTTTATGCAGTCCTGGGTTACTCAACCTGAGACCCTAGTCCTGAAGCAAACATGTGTTAGAAAACAACTGAGAAAGTGATTTTTTTTTCTCAATTAAAAACAGTGTTTCCACGTGGGCCTGTACCAACAGATAGAAACTACAGGAAATTATAAAAACACAGTCAAAGTTCAGCTATAATCGACCGAGAGAGAGAGAGATAAGTGAAGTTGTTAGTGAAGTATATGAGTTGTAATAGGAGGGGAATGGGTAAACATGTGCATTCCTCTGGCCAGAAAACCATCCAGACAAACAGGAACTCTGGCCAGACAAATATGGTAAAGCCACATCTGAGGCGGTGCTGTGACCAGACTGGTTTTGGATGGATGGAAGGAACCAGAAGTGCAGCAGATATTTCATCCCGTGCAGGTGTTTCGACGAGCACACAGTGGACTTGGTACACTGGCTGGGTTTGCTAGAGTAAACAGGAAGCAGTGGGCAGTGTGTGTGGCTGTGATTGGTCGCTGCAGTTTGATTTGTGACAGCAACAAAGAATGCAGGAAGGGGACGTGTGAACAGGGAGCAGCGCAGAATACCAAGGAAAGGGAGTACGTGTGTGACATCATGTTAATACTATGACAGCGAGGCTTTTGACAGAAACCTGCTAAAGTTTTTTTTTTTTTTCCCGAGGGGGAAATCACAAACAAGTGTGACCTGGTCAGGACATTCCTGCTCTGGAAGTCTCTTGATAATGCTCAGGAGACTGTGGGACATACTGTACAATCACAGAGGGTCACATGTGATTGATAAAATGCCAATAAGTGATTCATCTATATTGTCAGTCTTGTTTCAAAACTCACATTTTGGCTACAACATGTCTTATTAGACTGACCAAACACCTGTCACGGACAGTGTGAGCTTCAGGGCGGCCAGTTGTGCATCAAGCTGTTTTCTATAGCTATTTGTCAACTAGAGCCATCCAGTGGTGCTTCAGGGAACTTTGAATACAGCAAACAGTGAGTGGGGCCTTCAACACAGATACTGGCCACCGTTCATTGTTTGGATTGTCTTCATGAGATAAACCTGGATGGCAGCCTGGAACTACCATTCTGTCTCTGCGCTGAGGTGAGGAGGTGGCAGATGTTTTTTAAAGAAATAATCACAGTTATCTATCAAAACACAAAACACCATGCTCTCTTTTCCAAGTGTTTCCCACTACTTTGGATTCACTTGGTCTTGTCTGAAGGAGAATCTGACTGCTCAGTCCGCTGGCTGCTGTTGTTTGTGGGTATTCGTGACGTATCAGAAGCAGTGGTGCCCTTGGAAATGTTCCATAGGTGTGGCCAGAGGGAGCCACTGAAAATCTTGAGGTGGGAAAACCAAAAGCCATAACTGAATTTGAGGAAGCTGTTATTTCCCAGTCGGAAAATTTTAACTGCAACGCCTCTGAAGTCTGATTTCCGACTTGGAAAATCACGGAAATAACCTCAACTACCCTAACCTCAAAATCCAAGATGGCTGCTCTGCGCATCAACAGTGGTGGGAGCTGTAGTGACACACTGTTACTGTTAATTTATTATGTTGATCTGTTCTGTACGACATCTATTGCACGTCTGTCTGTCCTGGAAGAGGGATCCCTCCTCAGTTGCTCTTCCTGAGGTTTCTACCATTTTTTTTCCCCGTTAAAGGGGTTTTTTTTGGGGGGAGTTTTTCCTTATCCGCTGCGAGGGTCATAAGGACAGAGGGATGTTGTATGCTGTAAAGCCCTGTGAGGCAAATTGTGATTTGTGATATTGGGCTTTATAAATAAAATTGATTGATTGATTGATTGACTGTTTATTAGCATTCATTTCAGTCATTCATTCACTTTCCATAGCTGCCTATCCTGTTGGGGGTCGGTCCATATTGACATGATGACATCACACAGTTGCTGCAGATTTGTCGGCTGCACATCCATGATGAGAATCTCCCGTTCCAGCACATCCCAAAGGTGCTCTATTGGACTGAGATCTGGTGACTGTGGAGGCCATTGGAGTACAGTGAACTCATTGTCATGTTTGAGATGATGTGAGCTTTGTGACATGGTGCGTTATCCTGCTGGAAGTAGCCATCAGAAGATGGGTACACTGTGGTCATAAAGGGATGGACACGTTCAGCATCAATACTCAGGTAGGCTGTGGTGTTTAAACCATGCTCAGTTGGTACTAAGAAAATCTCCCCCACACCATTACACCACCAGCAGCAGCCTGAAGCGTTGATACAAGGCAGGATGGATCCATGCTTACATCTGAATATGGTTTTTCCAATCTTCTATTGTCCAGTTTTGGTGAGAAAACCCGTGTGAATTGTAGCCTCAGTTTCCTGTTGTTAGCTGACAGGAGTGGCACCTGGTGTGGTCTTCTGCTGCTGTAGCCCATCTGCTTCAAGGTTGGACAAGGTGTTGTTGCTTCAGAGATGGTCTTCTGCACACCTTGGTTGGAACCACTGCTTATTTGACTTCCTGTTGCCTTTCTATCATCTTGAACCAGTCTGGCCATTCTCCTCTGACCTCTGGCATCAACAAGGCATTTTGGCTCACTGGATATTTTCTCTTTTTGGGACCATCCTCTGTAAACCCTAGAGATGGTTGTGCTGATGCTCCGTTTGAACTTCAGCAGCTCGTCTTCACCATGTCTACATGACTAAATGTGTTGAATTGCTGCCACGTGATTGGCTGATTTGTGTTAACGAGCAGTTGAACAGGTGTACCTAATAAAGTGTGTGTTTTATTTTCAATATTTTTATATCTTCAGTACTAATTTAAACACTGTAGCATAATACACATTCTATTTTTTATTTTAATGTACATTTTTATTTCTATTTTATTTTATTTATTTTATTGCTTAATATTTACATACTTCAATCTCATACTTTATTCTTTATATCGAAGCGACTGTAATGAATCACCAATAAAGTATTTCTGATTCTGAATCTGAATTTATTTTTTTTTAAATAAATTTTCCTGATTATAATTTTATGTTTTTTTACTAATTTCTTGCAATTGTTTTGATTCATTTCTTATGTCGTTGCACATTTACTTCTTCCCATATTTTTTGAGAGACATGAAGCCAGTCTGGTTTCAAATGGTTAAATAAAGAATGTTACAAAAATGAAAAAAAAAAAAAAAAAAAAAAGACTTTCTCAGCCAGTTAGCTCCTAATAAAATCAGGTAATCAATGCTCAAAAAATAAAAAATAAATATTAATACATATTGACTGAACTTTTCTAGAGTACGAAAATAAATTCTTAACTTACCTTAAGTGGTGTTTCCCTTTAAATACAAAGTGAAATTCATGAAATTCTTTCTTAGCATTGAAGCAAACACGATTATAAGAGCTTAAAAAGACAGCAGGGTATTATCATCATCACCATTATTATTTATCATGACCAGACAAGCTGACCCGCAACATAATCCGTCTCCATGGGAACGCTCTTAATACGGAAGCTCGCTTGGATAACAGGAGGTTGAAACGCGAAGGGGGCAGGAGCAGCAGGAGCAGCAGGAGGCCGTGGCTGGACAATGACTGACGTGGAAAGTGAAAGGAGTGACTGAGTAACAAACTTCGGGGGAGAAAGAAAGTCCGAGGAGCCAAATCCACCTCCTGAGTGTGTGTGTTAGCTTCTGTGTGTGTGTTTCACACCGGACACGGCACCATGAGTCTGGACAAAGCAGAGCTGTGTGATTCTCTGTTAACCTGGGTAAGTTTGATGTTAGCGAGGTGTCCTAGCCAGGCTAACCGCCGGCTAACAGGTGACAGCAGGTGTTAGCAGGCGATATAACAGAGGAGGCAGCGTTAGTTTTGTACGTGAAGTCCTCGGTTAGTCGATAACTAGCTGCTTTAATCACTTGGTAAGTAAATATATTAGCAGTTGTTAGCTACAAAAGTTGTGTCTGAAGCTAACTGTCGCTAGCTAGACAAGCTAACTAGCTAGGTAAACACCTTGGAAGTTTGCTCCTGGTGGACTGTGTGAGCTTGTTATCAGTTACAGGCTGTTAGCCGTGTCAGCAGAGTCCACTAAACAAACTCAAATAACTTAGTGTAAGCTGAGAGACTTATATCAGGTTATCCAACATGGTAACTTATTTAGACCAGGGAAATCCACCTGTTTGGCTCTGCTCCACACAGAGGCAAGTGTAGCACTGAACTGAGACACCCACTTATATTAACAGCTTTCTAAGTATGGCTGCAACCCCCTACAACTGCCTAGCATCTGACATTTAAGTAGTGTAAAGAAAGACTGGGTGGGTTTAGACAAAATCCCTGACAGTTTTGTAACATTCAGACCACTATAATGTTGATTTACTGCAGGTACTAAGTCCCCTTTAATCCCCAAACAATTACAAATCCAATTTTAATGCTCCAGAAGAGAGATATAAGAGTCATTAATAGAGCTGATTATCAAGAACTAACCAGCAAATTATTTATAAACTCACATATTCCCAATTTAAAGATTTGGTGGACCTAAAAACTGCACAATTAATATGTAAAGTAAGAAAATAAGATGCTTCCAGACTGTTTCCACAAGTTTTTCCAAATTAAACCAAGGGAATTGTATGTTTGCATACATAGATGTCCAATATGCCAAAATATAACAACTTTTTTGGCTGATAACCGATACCGACATTTTTTCCTCACCTTATTTTATTCATCATCAAGTCTCTGTATTGGAATAAACATCATATTATACATGCGTACTCTTAAAAGTACTCTTATGGCTCTTATTGTGATGGCTTTTCCACACAGAGGCAAGTGTAGCATTGAACTAAGACAACTACTATTACCAGCCTGTATGGCTGCAACCCCCTACAACTGCCTAGCATCTGACATTTAAGTAGTGTAAAGAAAGACTGGGTGGGTTTAGACAAAATTCCTGTTTTTTGTTCTGCATTATTTGACAGTTCTGTAATGTTCAGACCACTATAATGCTTTATTTACTGCAGGTTCTAAGTCCTGTTTAATCCCAAAACAATTACAAATCCAATTTTAATGTTCCAGAAGAGAGCCCTAAGAGTCATAAATAGAGCTGATTATCAAGAACCAGTCAGCAAATTATTAATTAACTCACGTGCTCCAAACTTAGAGATTTGGTGGACTTAAAAACTGTAAAACAAGATGCTTCCAGACTGTGCCCAGAAGTTGTTTCAAATTAAAGTGAGTCACAATGAACTAAAAGGAACTTGTATGTTTGCAAAAACAAAGATTAGAACAAATGCAAAACACGGATGCATGATATTGGATTTTTGTTGACATCCATTATGCCAATATATCAGTTTAGTTAATTAGGATACCCATTAGCTACTGCATTGTGGCAGCTATTCTTCCCATCTTCCACAACTGTACATTTGTGACGGTGTACAAAAGAATTAGCATTTAACACTTAATAAAATAACAGCCCTAGACTAAAACATTGACACAGACAAACAAGACAGCTCCTGGTGATAGTTATTAAGATATATGCTTTTCCATGATTTCATTTGGTGAGTAACCTCCATTTTGGGGCTAAATCTTGCTCCGATGATGTGATGATGCTCCTTTATTGAAATATTAGACCCAGTATTTACATAATACACATTCACATTTACATTAAAATGAATAGTTCCCAGGGAAAAAAGTTCATTACAATGTATGACTCATACCATATAGGTCACCTTTTCTTGTAGTCTCCTTTGGAAAACATGTAAATATGATTAGCATACTAGCAGAAAACAGTCACCAATTAAATGTCCCTGCACCACAAACAAAGACAGATCCTTATTTGACATCTTATTTGGCTGATAACCAATATCAATATATCCATTTTTTCTCTACATAATTTTAGTGATCGTCAAGTCTCTTCTGTTGTGAAATTAACATCATATTATGCATCTTATTGTGGCAGCCCACCAGCAGATGAACATGTGAAATACAATGCTTTTCAGTGTATGTAATGTTCATTCATAGTCCAAAATAAGAAAAAGCATGTCGGCCATCTCTGATATTTCATGTTAAAGCCGATACTGGCTGATACCGATGACATGCTGATATTATCGTGCGTCCTTCATGTAAAATAAAGATGTATAACAGTTAAATCAGTTCATTTGTGGGATAGTTTTGAAAGGAATTATAAATGTCTGAAACATTATGAGATGATTGATAAATATAAAACTGAGTTATGAATGCTTTTGTGTGTATATGAGTATTTGTTTGGGACTTTGGGCATATATATTTATATGTATAATATACATATATTTTGTTTTGCTTATTTCTTTCATTTTAATTGTATACCTCTTAAAGAGAACAGTACAACAAATTCTTGTAAAAAAGGGCAGGTGCAATAAGCTAAGGCTTCAGTCTTCACCTTTTGGTGGGACACTACTTCAAAAGTCATGAATTATTATTGTTATTATATTTTTCTTGTGTGTATTTGAGTTGTATAAGTGGGACAATGGCCAAAATAAACAAAACTATACCAAATTAGTAACATTAAAGCTGTTCCTAATCAATAGCAGGCTCCTTGCCAGAAAAAATGAATAAATAAATTAACTATAATTATTTACAACAACAGCCTAAAGGAGTTCATGCTTGTGGATTTTTTTGTTTTTTAACCCACATCGACAGATTACTCGCATTCATCAAAATGTTTGAGTCTGTTTTAGCTTTGGGTAAAAGTTAAATAAAGTATGTCTGTGCATGAAATGTATAATTTAGTCCATTTCTTAATTTATTAACATTAATTCTCAATGTCTTCATTCTCAGTTGCAGACATTTCAGGTGCCGTCATGCAACAGCAAGCAGGACCTAACAAGCGGAGTGGCCATCGCACACGTGCTGCACAGAATGTAAGAGCACATATATAAGAAGCTCCAGTATTTATAGTTGTTTTGTTGTCTTGATTATCTAAGTGCACAGCATGAACCCAGAGGAAAGAGCTGGTAGAAATTCATTCAGAGCCTGCTCACTGAGATTTGCTTATCTGTGTGGTTTGCAGTGAATTGCCCTTTGAATTGCACACGGCCACTATCTATGCAAAATGTAAACCATTTAAAGACAGTCTAGATTTGTGAGGTCAGCTTTATTGAAGACATAGGTGTCATTTTATCTGTCCGGGCATGGTGACCTTTTGGAGCTTGTGGTGGGACATTTGTGCTCATGTGCACACAGACAAATGGACAACGTAACAGTTTGTCAATCAAATTGTTAGTTTAATGTCACTTTAAAGTTCCTCTCCACGCAAAAATGTGTTTTTCGTCTGTATATGTCCTCTGACTTGTCTCTTTGCAAAGTTTGTCTCTAGAAAGGTGTCTGTTCACTTTGCTAAAATATGGGATTTAAACGCATGGCAGGAAAGCTAGATTAGTTACGTCACTAACATGAAAGCCAGTCGCTGTTTAATATGGAAAAAGCATATTGAAGGAGAAACACACTTTGACACAAAACTAGCAAGAGTGTGCACTTTTTTGGTGCAAAGCAAACTCTGGAGCTTCCTTCCACTATCTACCAAAAACTCCATCACAACAGATATTTTTGTCTAACGCTGTGTCAGGCATGACCAGCTAGCCTACAAGCTAACAAGCTATCAAACCATTCTAATATGACGGCTAGTGGCCGATTTTAGTGCACAATAGACTCTTTATCTGAGTGTGGGTTTGACTGAGGCTCAGACATGTATGGCTAAATCTCTCTGATGTTTCCTCTAATGCTAACGCTAGCCAACTTGACGCACAACACTCTTTTACCAATCAACCTATAGCCATATATACGGAGATGCCGCATTGTCCGCATCAGCCTGTTGCTGTGATACGTCAGTGTCGCTGCCATATTGGAGGGGGCAAGACTTGCCTTTAAACATAAATTTTTGTGGTTAAAAAGCACTATATTTTATATTTCTCTACTGATTTCAGTGAGTTGTTTTAATAGTCAAGGGTTTGTGATCTACATTAGTCTGAGTGGGCGGAAGTTTGCTGCATAGATCAGCCTCTCATTGGGCGGAACGAGCCACCCGCTGAAGTCCCGCCCTACCACCTCCGGTTGCAGTTTTCAACACGTCCTTTATTAACTTTTGTGGTGTTTGATCTTGCTGGGATGTAGCCATTTTTCTGCCATGGTTCTCGTCCTGTAGGCGATATTTTTGTGGGCGTGTTACACCAAAACCTGTTTCCCCCGGCAATATTGCAAGCGCACCGTTGCTGTGGCATCGCCAAGAACGATTGTGATTGATTGAAAGAAATAAAAAAAAAGCCGGGGCGTTTTTTTCTCCAATCTTAAAGTGAGAGTCGGCCCAGCCAGACCTTTCTTTTCTTGAGAAAGGTCTGGTGAGCGAGACTAGATCTACATAGAATAACACGTTTAATCTCCAGTTGCTTAGAAGCTTGATGTTTACGCTGAAATCGCAGCTGGACACTCGAGAGGAGTGAGTGAAGTAAATTACTTACATGATGTTGAATAATTTATTGTCATATAGGGGTGTAATGATCCATCGATCTGGATCGATATATCGATTCAATGATCAGCGATACAAAGTCATCAGTGAGTGAAAACATCGATCTGTATCGTGGTCTTCTGGCTACGCTTTATTTTGAAAACCTGTGTTGCTGTCAAACAGTGGCAGGAAGATGGCGAGCAGCTGAGAGAAAGATGATGAGGATAACATTATTGACTCAGGAATAAATCGGGAGCGTGGAAGTATTTTGAATTTCGGAGAAAAACAAAGGGGGTCAACAGACAAACGCATGCCGTACATAAACAATGCTGTTAAAGCTAAAATACAGCCTAACGTTACCTGCCTGGAGGGCGTCTCACTCTGCTAACTTCTCACTACAGCAACATTAGCTGCTCTGTTTCAACAATGTTCGGCTAATTTATGCAGCGTAAATATGCTTAGGCTAATAATGAGCGACAAGCTAAAAAAAACTGTTTTGTCTATGAACTTTGACAGTTGTTACTGAGCTGATTTAGATACTTCTGTTAAACATGTTTTACATGTTTGTTTGGAGAAGTTTGCCTTCTGGGTTTTAAGGCAGACAGTCCTGAAATTTTATGAAAAAGATCATGATATGGAAATTGTGAAAGGCTTTGGGCTATATAATGTACGTTTACGATGGTTCCTGTCTGCTCTAAACGAGTAGGAAACGAGGGCTCTAACGTTGGTGTGCAAAGTTTCGCTGGCAGCCAGAAACAAACATCTATAATCCGTTCTCCATTTGACCCTTACGTATTCTTGTGTCCTTTCTAAAATGAGCAGTGGTGGAAGTTGCTATATTCTGTTACGATGAAAGAGTTGATGAAAAGCAGAGAGCGTTACACATAAATTCAGTTCACGCCTAACACCGATACCCATTCCCGTGCGGAATTTCCTCCGTGGGGTGTCCAGGCTCAGCCTTAAGCCTAGTTCACGTTACACGATTTTCACCCTGTTTTTGTGTCGCGGAGACTGTCGTAATCGTAATCGTTTCTGTCAGCGGCCCTCGCCGACAGAGCCCCAGATAACGCAGTGACGTCACCAAACTACGTTTTTTTTTTAACTTGGAGACGACACATTGTAAAGGCATGGATATTCTTCCCAGTGTTGAATCAGATCTGCCTCCAGGGCCTGGGTCCAAACACAACGCGCTCCCCTTGATCCTGTGGACGCCGCCATTGTTGTTGTTGCTTGCCAGCTTGTCAGCAAGCAAGCCCAAATAAGCAACTCCACTTTAGAAACAAGCCCAAAGTTGTGGCTAATAAGCGGACCTGGCAATCCTGCGGCTTGTCCTCCTCACATTTCTTCCGTCCTCCTGCGTGCTGACGTGGGACGTATCCTGCCTCTCATTGGTTGATGCTCTTTGTCAGTCGTGTCACACCTCTCCAGTTTTCTAGCATGCCAGATATCCAGTCCCAGTTACAGATGAGGGGGCGACTCGCTCGTAGGCTTGTTCACACACGAGGACTCGTCGTGGCAGACTATCTGCTGACTCACCTCCGACCCAAGGTGGCTCTCAAGATCCTCTGCGACATCAAAATCACGGTGAAAATCGTGTAATGTGAACTAGGCTTAAGAGATAGTGTAAGGAGCTCGGAGTAGAGCCGCTGCTCAGTCAAGTCTATGTTTCCATATCTGTGGGTCAACCTACCGCAAGTAGCTGGTAGGCGGGAAGGAGACCAGATCCAGAGTTTCTCAATGAGGGAGAAGGAGTAGATCTGCTTCCAGCATCTTTGCAGTTTGTTTTGTATGGGAAAACAGTGTTAACCCAAATATTAGCATTAGTATTTTCATATACTTTAAAATGTGCCTGGAGGGGGACTTAAACTTAGAACCCGAAGCTTGACTGCTTCTTGAGTTATCTCACAACAAGAACATTATTCCCACGAGTCACGAGACTGTTGTACTGAAATGTCACAGAGCTTAGCAGAACAGAATCACGGGGCCTCATCGCCCTGTGGCCCTCTGTCAATCATGATGCCCACAGATGTGTCGTCCTTGTCCTCACTGGAGTTCTCTTGTCCCCTCATTAACAGAGACCCCTCTTGGTTTAATGAGACATGGCTCGGCAGAATCAAGGAGGAGAGTGGGGCCAACTGGCGCCTCAAGGTAATTTTTGAAACAGTAGGATGTGACAGAAGAGCCTACGGCAGCCTAGAATGACCAAGATGTCTGATGTCTGTTTTTTAAACTTATTTTCCCTGATTAAAATAAAGATCAAGATTGTGACCTTGATCTGTTTTTATCTTTCAGGTCAGCAACTTGAAAAAGATTCTGAAGAGCATGCTGGAATATTATCACGATGTAAGAGGACATTATTATTTCTAACTTTTAGAAGCATTTAAATCCACTCAAGGCTCAGCTCTAATGTCTCGCCTTACTCGTATGAACAGGTGCTCGGTCACCAGGTGTCAGATGAGCACTTGCCAGACGTGAACCTCATAGGAGAGATGGGAGACGTCACTGAACTGGGCAAGCTGGTGCAGCTCGTATTGGGCTGTGCTGTCAGCTGTGAGAAGAAACAAGGTAAAGTGTTGAGGTGCACAGAGATGTCATTATCTCTCTCTGTATCTATATTTAGATAGAAGACAGGAAGAGGTTCTGTTTTATACAGGAAGTCAAGTTAAATCAGGCAAATGTTATATATTTTTTAACCAGTGCAGTTGTTGTACCTTCCAAGTATCAAATTGATTTAATAATGGCATATAATTAATTATGAAAAGAAATTCTACATCTTCATACTGTACTTTTTGTATCGCTTTCTCTCTTGACCAAAATACGAGGTAAAATATTTTTTCTATTTTCAATATTCGACTTTTTTAATGAAAGAAATTAATACATGCTGCTGAAACTACACTTTCTAAACTTCATTTTAATGTATAATTTTTAGGGGATCGGGGGAAATACAGCCGCCACAAAGCTTTTTTATCTACTACACTACACGCCACCTCCTCCTTCTAATGCGCTCTCAGCTCACTGAGCACTGATTTTGTGGGGGCGATCAGAACATAGTAAAGCTGCAACAATTAATCAATTAGTTGTCTCCTATTAAATTAATTGCCAACTCATTTGATCAGTTTGAGTAATTAAGAGCAAGCAAAAGGCTCTGCTTTCAGCTTTTAAAATATGAAAATTTTCTGGTTTCTTTACTACTCGAAGACAGGAAACTGAATATCCTTGGGGTTGTGGACAAAACAAGACATTTGAGGACGTCATCTTTGGCTCTGGGAAACACTGATCGACATTTTTTGGCAATATTTAGACCAAACAACTAATCAATTAATCAAGAAAATAACAGACAGATTAATCAACAGTGTAAATAATTAATATTTGCAGCTCTAGAATATAATGACCACTTTTCATTAATGTAGATAGAAGACCAGAAGTGGGTGTGGTTTATGTTCAGTCGCATTAACTGAGCAAATGCTGCATTTTCTAAACTACATTTTTTGGGCAATGCAGTTATTGTGCCCTCAAAACATTGACGTGATTTGATAATGGCATAAAAATAATAATGAAATATATTCCCATATCCTCATACTGTACTTTTCATATCACTCACTCATTATTTTTCATTTTTAACTAAACTAAGTTTTATGAATTGTCTGTATGCCTATGAAATTAATGACGAGATAAATTAATGAGGAAATAAATGCATAAATAAATGTAAATATGAATGTATTAATAAGTCACTATAGTTAATTAAATAAATATTTTTTTAAAGAATGTTTTTTAAAGGACTAGTTTGATTTATTTTGGGGGACTTTTAGGCTGTTAGCTGTTAGGTTTTTAGGTTTTTAGTGGACGCTACGTCAATATTCCATTAAACCTATTGCTAATGCATTTAGCAGGATACATCTTTAAAGGGAAATTTCGGTTTATTTCAACCTGTCTCCTATCGTCCTAAATTTGTTTCAAGTGACTAGTGACATAAAAATAATAGTTAGCATGTTAGCCGTTAGCCTAGATACAGCCGGGCACATAGTAGCGTCAGACCTGTTAAAACGTAAGTGAACGGGCAACCTTCAAGTGCAAAGTTAGTCCACTAAACAAGCTTTTTTTCCACAAAGACCTCCTCATATCGTTAGGATAAATGTCAGAGAACATATAGAAAACGACATGTAAACGTGTTGTCTTACCTTACCGGTGTGCTGCCATGTTTGTTTACCATTTAGCTCTGCTTTCCAAAGCGCGGCCGAAATATTGCAAGAACAAGCAGCGATCTCATACCGTGCCTGAAATCTCGCGAGCTCTAGATAAAGCTCAGCTGGATACTACTCCAGGTGGAGGTGTCTCGTCCTCGGTCACATCCAGACCTTGAAAATAAGGCTGCAACCGGTACCATTCCTTGCAACAGAGGCATTCCTCTTCTGTGGGCACTGGGGCACAGCATTCACAGGTACACCACCAATCTCCAGAGCTACGCAGCCTTGCAGCAGCCATTCCTCCTATCTGGTCCTCTACCTGTTGCGCCTCTCTCTCTCTCCTCCTCCGTTCTTCAATTTCACGAAGCTCTTTGTCAGTGTATTCTGGCTCAAATAAATAAGGGCGGCCATCAAACTCTGCAAAATCAAATTCCTCCTCCACAAAGTCGAAGTCTGGCAAAAAGTCAGCCATTATTCTATAAATCTTTCATAAAATAAATGAATGAACATTTTTTAGGCTACTGTCCGGTTCTGCCTTCCAGCTGTTGCTGCTTGTTCTCGTGAGATTTCAGGCACATTATGAGATCGCTGCTTGTTCTTGCGAGATATATTTCGGCCGTGCTTTGGAAAGCAGAGCTAGATGGTAAACAAACATGGCAGCACACCTGTAAGGTAAGACAACACGTTTACATGTCGTTTTCTATATGTTCTCTGACATTTATCCTAACGATATGAGGCGGTCTTTGTGGGAAAAAAAAGCTTGTTTAGTGGACTAACTTTGCACTTGAAGGTTGCCCGTTCACTTACGTTTTAACAGGTCTGATGCTACTATGCGCCCCGGCTGTATCTAGGCTAATGGCTAAAATGCTAACTATTATTTTTATGTCACTAGTCACTTGAAACAAATTTAGGACGATAAGAGACAGGTTGAAATAAACTGAAATTTCCCTTTAATGGAGGAACACCGACTGAATCGATTTTATTTTCTTTCGGCATCACAACTGAGTTTTCTAAATGTAAAGGAAATTAACACATGCAGGTAAAAACTACAGGTTCTATCGTTCATTTTGATGTAGAATTTGAGGAGTTTGAAATAAATCAGCTGCCGCACCAGGTTTTTGTATCCCTACTCTTGCAAATGACACCTCCTCCTCCCTAATACGCTCTCAGCCTGCTGTGTGCTGACGCAGTGGGAGCAATCAGAATATAATATAATCTCTTAGTTGTCAGCTATTCATTTAATCACCAATTAATTTGGTGATTGATTAATGCATTTGAATAGCTTTTTAAGGGAAGAAAGGTCAAAATTCTCTGATTCAAGCCTCTGAAATGTGAATATTTTCTGGTTTCTTCACTCCTCTATGACAGAAAACTGAATGTCTTTGAGTTGTGGACAAAACAAGACATTTGAGGATGCCATTTTGGTCTTTGGATCAACATTTTTCACCATTGTTTGACAATTTATAGATCAAACAACTAGTCGATTAATTGAGAAAATAATAGATAAATTAATCGACAATGAAAATATTTAATAGTTGCAGCTCTAAAATATAGCAATCACTTTTCAATGATGTAGTAAATGAAATGACCAAGTAGTGAAAGTCCCATGTTGTGTCTCATGGCCTTCTACAGTGATATGAATCGATTTAAAGAAATAAAAGGCACAAACGTCTTTTTTTTTTTTTTTTTTCACAAATAAAAATGAGCGATGTCTCTTAGAATAAATTTCCAATGCATCATTTGTGCTTTCCCAATTAATGTATTCAGATTTGGGTGCATCATCCCTAGTAAAGTGTGAGCTGTAAAAGGGGAAAAAATGAAAACCCCTTAGATGCAGCCATCTGTGAAAATAACACACAGGATTAACTCAAAGTCAAATCACATGGTTCTTGGTTTATGTCAGTCGTGATCACCATAACTTACACTGACACATGCTTTTCTCCCCACAAGACAATTTTGCAACTGTTACAACTCAGGGAGAAAACTGATCATTTGTTATTTAAACAGGAGCTCGATGTGCACTGGCTCTCTGCAGATGGATGCTTGTTTGGTGTTTAGTAGAGTATTTGTGTTAATCTGTATTTGGCTGCACCTTCACAGCTCTCTGTTGTCTTCTCCTAAACACAGAGCAAATCCAGCAGATAATGACACTTGAGGAATCTGTCCAGCATGTTGTGATGACAGCCATTCAGGAGGTGAGTGAGCCTCTCGCTTATCCTCTTGGTTCTCTCTACTTTGCATTAATCCCGGCTCTTAGTCATGGTTAATTCACAATCAAAGAAATCCGGATAAGCGAAAGACTGAACAGAGTCCCAGAAACCTTACTCTGAGATATTTCAAGACTTTGTTTAGTGTTTCACTGGCACACATACAGCTGGAAAAAATAACCTGTGCAGGTTTATCAAAGTTATTTAGAAAACCCAATAAGGAACAGGTATTCTTCCAAAAATTTGAGCTTTACACTGACTTTGTTTTGACTGCTTTGTTTCAGCTCTTATCAAAGGAGCCTTCATCAGAACCAGGAAGCCCAGAGACCTACGGGGACTTTGACTACCAGGTGAAACAGCAACACTTTCACTCCCCCTCTGTGTGCTTGTTTTTCACGCAGAGGATCTGTTACATCCCTCTTTTGTGTTTTCCCGCACCCTTTTATTAATGTTTTCTCCCTCCTACTGTGACTGGTATAACATCTCCTCTGTCTCCTTGTTCTTTGTTTGCAGTCCAGGAAGTATTATTTTCTAAGCGAGGAGGCAGACGAGAAGGAGGACCTGAGCCAGCGCTGCCGAGACCTGGAACATCAGGTTGGTACACCAAATCGGGTTTATGTTTTACTTGGCAAACATTTCTTGAGGCCATAGACTTCCAGTCCTCGAAATTTTAGTCCTGTTTGATTTGGCATCGCCTGTGGTTACTGGTGGTGACATCAAGTACATTTTAATACAACGGGACAGAGTATTCTAGGGGCAGCAAACACTCCTTACATAGAATTACAGTCATGACCAACTGCTGTATCTGTTTACAGTGCAGCCAAACAAACTCACATTGGTTTAACAAAGAATTCAGCCAATAATTGGCCTCTCTCCATCAGACTTTGAGCAACCGCAATCTGATTTCATGCTGTAGTTTTCCACACAACAAGAGGGCAAAGATAAGTAGGTGACCTTGCTGAGAAGTTGGATGTGTGCAGCCTGTCGCCTGCCAAAGTCTGCCAAGAATTTCTGTTGTCCTATTTTGTAAACACATTTTCGAAGAGCAGTCGATGTCAGAGCTAATCTCTGTTACAACTACGTGGCATCTCCTGTGATTGCATCATGGTAAGAGCCATCCAATGTTTCCCAGGTTAAAATCTTAGGTCCTGATCACACAGAAAGCGTTTTAGCAGCTGAGGGCGCCTTTTTGTAATTGTTTGTAATGAGAATGAAGCTTTTTGCTCGCTGGTTTTGCATTGCAACATGCCTCACATTTCTGCGCTCTAGGCTCTAGGCTTGTCACGATACCAGAATTTCAGTAGTCCATACCAATACTGGTGAATTTCCATGATTCTCGATACTCATTCGATACCCCTTGACGGTGCCACTGGCCGCGCACATGTGAGTGTTCGACAGTGACAATGTGTGTGTCGGCTTCGTCAGGCGTACCATGTGCAGCACGATGCTGGTATATGACAGCAAAAAGACAGGGACCTTGACACTTAGGAGGCACATGACGAAGGCTTGCCATGGAAAGAAAGACGAAAGTCAGCCTTCAATGTCCACGTTCATATCCTTAAAAAAAGTCGGGTTAAAACCGGGCTCGGGCTCATAATTACAGTTAAAGGGACGCAAGAACATGCATGGGCTCGGGTGGGATCGGGCTGTATTTTTTTTGGCCCAATCTAAGCTCTAGCACTTGTAGAATCCATCGTTTCTAGCAAAGATGATGGAGAACAGGTGTTCTTCTTCGGCGCTCGTCCTTGGCACAGACTGACATGTGTATACTGCCCCTGCCAGTTCCAACAGGAAATGACACGGCCCACTGAGGGCAAAGTTGTATCTGGTACTTACAGTACCGAAAAAAAACAGGTACCAACGTATTTTTTGCGTGTTGGCATCGACTTGGTACCGAAGTATTGGTTCTCATGACAGCCCTACTAGGCACTTAGCGTTTTATTGCCGGAGTGCTCTGAACTCCTCCAGTTAAATAAACTTCAACTCAAAGTGGAAAAACACCACACATCATCTCTTGTCCTATTGTCCAGTCGGATGATTTGAGAGGCGGGCCTTCTGTGGTGGTCATGACAACAAGTTTACAGTTGGTAAACAATGGAGGAGAAACTGGTGGTGCTCAGTCGCTCAGCAGGATCAATCAACTCTCTGTAGTTGGTATTCATTTTTGTTATGCTAGGCCCAACGTTACACAGCAGGTTGTCAAACTGAGTCATCCTAAAATCTGCCTGTAAACATCCATGATGGAGGAGAAGCTCCTGGACCAACTGGTGGTACTTCCCATGAGCCAGCCTCTTTTTTAGGGTCTCATGTACCCACACAGATCTCTGTTTATCTGCTGACAGCCTCTCACCCTCAGCCAGAGCTACAGACAGTACCCTCTGCCTCAACATGTCAGCAACTACACACCGATTACTGTCAGATAACGAAAATGAATAGATCAACAGTAGAATGTTTACACGGGAAGGTTAGAAAAAGTAGGTGAGTCCGTGGTTGCCTGGCAACAATAATAAGGCTTGGCAAGTGGTGGTTTTTTCACTAGTGGCATTTAATGTTAGGATCACGTTGGAACACGTTCTCACCACAAACGAACAACACCAGAGTTAATTTCTAACCGGACAGAGACCACCTCTTCAAGAAGGTCTCTGTCCGGTTGTTTTGGTGTTCACACCTGCCCAAACAAACCTCACTTGGGGGCAAAGGAACCTGAGTTTTGTTGAACCAAACCAAACAGGGCAGGTGTGAAAGCACCCTAAGTCATTTCATGGGGTTGTGACGAGACGTCTTTCACAATGTGAGTCTATGGGAAAAAGTCTCAATGGGTCCAAAGGCATCATGTAACGGACCAGGAAGTTGTGATTCCAAAAATATCTTCAGAGCTTAACTTTGAAATGATGTGCTTGTGCTTGGGTCTGCTTCATCTTCCATTTGTCTAACAGAGCTGTTGGTTTTATCTCAAAAGACAAACTATTCTGTAGTTTTGGAGTAATATAAAACTATTTCACCTTTAATGTTCCTGACTTTCAGTTTCTTTTGAGGCCCAGTTTATCTGTTCTGTGGTTGCAGCATGTTGCTGAATGTGTGTGCGCCTGCAGCTTTTGTGCTCTGGCCCTTATTGATTAGCCTGCCTGAGACTTTGTTTGTGTTCCCATGGCTTGTTTTTGCACCACCGACTGCGAGGGGACTAATTTTGTGTATTTTAAAGATAAATTCCAGTCAATAGTTGCATAACATCGAGATAAAACTGACACATTGCCTTGGGATGGAGCAGTAGCCAACAATAATTTGTACTGCTCTCAGCCCACCTGTTTGTTTACTTACTTAGCCCACGCGTTAGGGATTAGTCATTTGTGTTGTTTTGAAAGCTATTTACTGTTACTGGTCCTGTGCTAAAGCATGCAATCTGTCCTTAAAGTTCAGTGTAGGGTTTTGCTGTGTTCAAACTGGAAAGATGTCCAGCAGGTAAGTGAACGCTCCCCCTTTTTTAATACTGGAATGCCACCTCGTCTAACTGTAACTCAAACACAAACATTTTGTAACTTCATCAGCTTGAAATAAAAACACTTCTCCCCCCTGAACTTTAACAATATAACCAGTATTATTAATGGAGCTGTGCATATTCATCTGTTTACATCACGAGAGTCTGGTTGTGACCCCGAGGGTAAATGCTAACAACTTCACTATTGAGAAAGTTCCATCTGCCTGAGACCATCGCACACCAGCTGACTAACTAGCTTTGGCCAATGAGCATGTAAAATGAGAGCAAAGCATGTGATCGATGTCCTCTAAGCATGAAAAACGGTGAGTTTGTCGCTGTGGATCTGTGTTTCTCATCCTTGAATCTGTCGCGTGCCAGTACTGTGTCTTTGTCATGTTTATTTTCAGAGAGATATCAACCGCTCGTGTCAGTGTTCTTGATATGTTATCCTTTGAAAGAAAAGCGTTAAAGACTTTTCTGATGCATCTTCTTGTCTTTCCCTTTCTTCGTACAGCTTTGTCACGTTGTGTTCTTTGTGTCAGCAGTCCCATACCCAGTGTCCTGCTCTTTACGCCTGTTTTTACAATATCCTCTGTTTCCTCTCTCTTCTGCCTCAGCTGTCGGTGGCTCTGGAGGAGAAGTCGACCCTACAGGCAGAGACACGCTCCCTAAAGGAAAAGTTGAGCCGCTGTGACTCTCTGGACGCCTCCTCTACTGCCATCACCAGCAAGAAGCTGCTGCTGCTGCAGAGTCAGATGGAACAGCTTCAGGAGGAGAACTACAGGTACAAGCAGCACACACACACACACACACACACACACACACACACACACACACACACACACACACACACACAGAGTTGAGGCCTTTGCACCTCAAGCCGTATTTTTCATGTTTTTTTTCATCAGATAAAAAAGTCTTCATCTGATAAAAGCTGTTATGCACGGAAACTTTGCACACTGAGTCTGATGCAATACAAGACAAAATGTTAAGACACATCTGCTCCACCTGAGTTACCTCCCTGGCTGTCACTTCTCTCAACACACTGCTTACCTGAGTTACAAAATGATACTGTGCGGCTATTAAATTTCACTCTGCTGTAGCACCGTCATTCCTGCTGTGCATTTCAGGATAGGCTAACGTCACCTTCTCTATGTTGTGGAAGATTTCAATACGGACATTTCTTCCATAGGCTATATTCCACTTCTTTCTCTTGCTGGCCCACTGTCCAAGTCTGGCCTGGTACTCTCTCTTGTTGCGGATTTATGTGTCTCGCAGATTACGCCACGTTTTCTTCACTGCTTCCTTTGTCAGACAACTCTTTAGGGCTGTTGTGTGAAAGTCAAAGGTTTGGAATTATCAGTCGGAGACCCCATGGTCAACTGAGATTCTTAAGTCGAGCAGTTGTTGGGTTAATCATTGTACTTCTGGGGATGTTTCGGTCCCCAGATTTAGCTTCAGAGTGAGCACTCCAGGCAGCTGCAGACCCAGGAGAGTCTGCCTAGAAGAGGAGAGGCTTTGCCTGATAAGGCTCTGAGATAACGTTGTCTTCTGCCTTCTGCTTAAAAGTTGTGAATTTACATCTCACAGCATCTTGATATGATACAGTCTCTGGCCTGTGTTGGATACCTAGGGTCGGCAAAACAGTGCTGTTGCACATTTCCAATCCGTCGTAATTAGCACGTATTAGCTCAAAGGGCTAACTTGGCTTTTTAACTACATCACCTGAATATCACTTGCTCACTAAACGTACCGCTGAACCCTGTGTAAACTTTCCAAAGAAAAGAGGAACAAATAGTTGAATATTTATATCAAACTGCCCAATTCAAATAACCTGACAAAACTTGAACCTGTTCTAAAAGCATAATTGATGTACGAAAGTTTTGTCGTCAGTCTGTAAATGTGATTAAAACAACATATTTATTTTTAAATGTGCAACAATTTTGGACAAAACATACAGACTTGGTGTGCCTAGGCCTTCAGAGTTGCTGAGGAAGACAGTCCAGATTACTATCTGGCAAACACTCATCAGGCATTTACATAACAGACATTTTGACATTTGCACATTAAATTTTAGAAAATGTAGCTGGAGATTTTCAAAGAATTCGACATTCATAAGTACAGTAATAGTTAACATTATGTATACATGTAAATCAAATGCTGTTGCTGAGTCATACTGCTCCACTTTATATCTGACAATGAGTCCATTCAGTTCACTCAGTCACACAAACCACTGCTCTGCCATCATATGTATCTCAGGCTGGAGAACAGCAGGGATGACATGCGAGTGCGGGGAGAGATACTGGAGCGCGAGGTCACCGAGCTGCAGAAACGAAACGAAGAGCTGACCAGCCTGGCGCACGAGGCCCAGGCCTTCAAAGACGAGATGGACATCCTCAGGTGAGAGCAGCGCTGTTATTCTTACAAAATCCCTCCTGAGTAAAGTTGAATTTGTTGTGGAAAACAGTTCAGGCCCTCTCACAAGCTAACCTACGTTTGTACTCAGCCAAACTGCAGAAAGTCATGCTTGGTGGGCGTCACATCACATGGACACTGAGGGTTTGTGTTTTCTGCTTTGTAGCTTTCCAACAGAGCATTTGGGATTGTGTGTAATCTCAATGAGGGAAGACCCGATACATTAATGCAGCTCATTCAGAATTTACAGTGATTTTCATTTATGTAATGCATTGTAAACATTGGGTGACAATTCTCGTTGAGATAATAGTAGGTGACCTTCTGCAGTTGTTGTGAATAAGACAATTTATGGGCTGTTATTTAACTTGAATCAACCAGTTCTTTATTGAGACCAGTCATGAAAGCTCCATGGTGACTGACAATGTATCTCTTGTCTCTTCAAGTCTGGTGATGCTCTGTATTTTTGTTACAAGGGCTGCCCACCCCCGACTAAGAATTTTCCTAGTCGACCAACAGTCCTCATCAGGGTCCATCAGTGGACTAGTCTCCTGCATGTTTCTGATATGAATGTAATGATTAAATGATATATTTTGGTGGTTTGAGTTGAAGGTGTGAGAAAGAATAGTATCAGTAACATTGTTAACACTGTGCTACATTACAGAGAAATACAAACCGTACTAATGAACCTTCATTAATATAGGCCTATATTTTATCTACAAGTGCACGTCACACACTGAGCGAGCCGCCTGTTAATGACGCTGTGGGCTAATGGGCATGTAGCTACTTCCATGTTTCAGATGATACGTCATGTTTGTAGTCGACCAATGAAGATGAGTTTACATATCACCTTGGGTTCGTCCTTCACCTTCTCAAAATGATCCCACACTTTGGATTTCCTGCCCTACATGTTATTAACTAGCCTGTGGAATAACCGCAGGTACCAGCCCTGGAAATTAACCTGACTCCTGTCTGACTGCTGAGCGTGGACACTTCCTGTGTCTGTCCTTTCAAATTAAATTCCCACATGATCCAGTCATATAGGTTTGGATTTATTTTGACAAGGTACAGCTCCTGATAGTTTCACGTTTTTTTTGTTCATTTTCTGCAACTAAGCGACCAATGAAATCTTGCCGACTAATGACCTTTCTGGTCAACTAACGTTTCGTCAAGTATTGGGGGGCAGCCCTATTTGTTACAATCAACAAATCCCAGGAAAAGACAAACACCTGCAATGAATTGATCCCTTTTAACAAGTATTGTCTCTGTAGCCAAAGCCAGAGTTCCTACACAGTATGGAAAAGTATGGAGCAGGGTATGAAATTAACAAAATATTTTGGGGGCAATTTTGGCCCCCACGGTCTCAAAAATGGGGGCATTTTCAAAATGTTTGGGGGCCATCAAAAAATTGTAATTATGTTCTAACAATAAGCACATGAAAAGCAAAACCAACTAAGATAGTGTCTTCACTCTTCAGTAGAAACCACTATAAATGAAATGAATAATGGGTTACATAAAGTTATGGTTGCAAAATATCACTCAGATTTCCTATAATTCAACCAGTTTAAATGTGATGATTTAACCGTTAATCTACTGATAGCAGTACTAATGTTTCACCACATTACAGTTACTTTTACTGTTAAAAAGGCCAAATTACTATAAATTCCTTAGATGCAATCCTGGAAGTAAGTTAATTTAAAATTTAACATTCATTCTACCTTAATTTTTCATTAATTTATCATTGTGTCGACACAGATCACCCAAGAAATGGTTAGTTTATACTTATGGTACAGCAAAGCCCCCTCCCCTTCTCTTTCAGATTACTCTCACGTAATCAGTTCAATCTCGTTGATTATGTCTGGAAAATGAGTTGTAGACGTGACGGTAAATTAATTTAATGAAAATAAAATTATACTTTAATGTCAGATTGTAATTCTGTTAAAAATATAAATACATGGCCCCCGGAACATGGCTTTTGGGGGCATTCTTGGATAAATTGTGGGCCAAATGGTCCGTGGCCCTTGCTAATTTCTGACACTGGTATGGAGTCTGATTTTAGTAATTTCCAGGTCTGGAAAATATGGAAAGTATGGTGAAATGTTTTTGTTTCCAGACTATTGCTTCTATGCTGTTTTATAAAATATACAATTCTGAATTTCTAAAAATAAATCCATATAAGCAGAGTGTTTTCATGGCATTTTTAGCAGCCAGCCACCAGAAATGTTTACCACACTCCTACGCAGAGCTGCCTCTACACCTGTACGCTACTGCGTGCAAAATCACTCCGCCCCAGCAAGTACCTTAAAACTGGATCAAATCCAGATATCCAAATTAGTTTGAAAAAAGAAGCATCAGTATCTTTGAATTGCACGTATCTGCTGCATCACAAATAACCAGAGAATAAACTTGTCTGAACATCTATGAGTCACATAGTGATGTCATTATCAGAAAAGTAAACAGACTATCCTTGTCAGTACAAGGATACCCCTATGGCTGTGTTGTCGTTTCCATGGACACAGTGAATCAACAAGGCTACACAGGCATGCTTAAAATTGAATTTTTAATGTTTTATGCCTCTGCATGAGCGATAGCCGTAGCTGAAGGCATGTTTTCAGGTTGTCTGTCCATCCAACCATCTGTCCGTCTGTCCTCCCCATTCTCTTGGAGGCTATATCTAAGAAACGCACCATGGGAATTTCTTAAGTTACTTGGACTCAACGATAAACTGATTAGATTTTGGTGGTCGCAGGTCAAGGTCACTGTGACCTTGCATCCGTCTCATTCTCATGAACGTGTTATCTCCAGAACAACTTGAGGACATTTCTTCACATTTGGCACAAACGTCCACCTGGACTGGAGAATACACTGATCAGAGTTTATTGGTGAAAGGTCAAAGTCACTGTGACACCTTTTGGCCATAACTCAAGAATTTTTATGATAATTATGACGAAACTTCACACAAAGGTCAAATAGAATATAAAGATGAAGTGATGACATTATATATCCAAAAGGTCAAAGGTCAGCTTCACTGTGTGTGTGTGTGGGGGGGGGGGGGGTAGTTCTAGTTTCATTCATTTTCAGTTCTGTGTAGGTAGCCCTGGTTAGTTTACTTCCTCTTTAGGCAGAGATGAACTTGTCTGGGTTTAGTGTCACTTGCTTTGTTTGAGCTACAGTACCTGAGTGCTAGTGATGGGTGGGTTGACCCACAGCCCGTCCTTGGGTCCTTTGGGTTGACCCCTGAGTCGGGCGCTTCTAGTGAGCTTGTTAGAAAATATTTCGGATTTGTCAGAAACTGACAAAGTATGCAACTTACAGTACAGGCCAAAAGTTTGGACACACCTTCTCATTCAATGCGTTTTCTTTATTTTCATGACTATTTACATTGTAGATTCTCACTGAAGGCATCAAAACTATGAATGAACACGTGGAGTTATGTACTTAACAAAAAAAGGTGAAATAACTGAAAACATGTTTTATATTCTAGTTTCTTCAAAATAGCCACCCTTTGCTCTGATTACTGCTTTGCACACTCTTGGCATTCTCTCCATGAGCTTCAAGAGGTAGTCACCTGAAATGGTTTTCCAACAGTCTTGAAGGAGCTCCCAGAGGTGTTTAGCACTTGTTGGCCCCTTTGCCTTCACTCTGCGGTCCAGCTCACCCCAAACCATCTGGATTGGGTTCAGGTCCGGTGACTGTGGAGGCCAGGTCATCTGCCGCAGCACTCCATCACTCTCCTTCTTGGTCAAATAGCCCTTACACAGCCTGGAGGTGTGTTTGGGATCATTGTCCTGTTGAAAAATAAATGATCGTCCAACTAAACGCAAACCGGATGGGATGGCATGTCGCTGCAGGATGCTGTGGTAGCCATGCTGGTTCAGTGTGCCTTCAATTTTGAATAAATCCCCAACAGTGTCACCAGCAAAACACCCCCACACCATCACACCTCCTCCTCCATGCTTCACAGTGGGAACCAGGCATGTGGAATCCATCCGTTCACCTTTTCTGCGTCTCACAAAGACACGGCGGTTGGAACCAAAGATCTCAAATTTGGACTCATCAGACCAAAGCACAGATTTTCACTGGTCTAATGTCCATTCCTTGTGTTTCTTGGCCCTCATCGAGAGAATGCCAAGAGTGTGCAAAGCAGTAATCAGAGCAAAGGGTGGCTATTCTGAAGAAACTAGAATATAAAACATGTTTTCAGTTATTTCACCTTTTTTTGTTAAGTACATAACTCCACGTGTTCATTCATAGTTTTGATGCCTTCAGTGAGAATCTACAATGTAAATAGTCATGAAAATAAAGAAAACGCATTGAATGAGAAGGTGTGTCCAAACTTTTGGCCTGTACTGTACATGCCAACAGTTGTTATTTGTATTCAGATGTCAAATATGGTTTGAATCTACAGAGAATTCTTGAAGTTTGAGTCTCAAAAAGTCTGGGAATTTAATGAGGAAATGTGTAGAAACCCTGCAGAGTCTGCTGTAGTGAGTCCTCTGTGTTACAGAAACTATTAAAAACACATCAGTGAGCTTCACTGTTGCTCTGAACAAGATGTTCTTTTATTATCATGTATTTAGGCACTGCACAGTTTATTTATATCAATCCCACATACATTTTTTTAGTGTTGTAAATATTCACTAGCAGAAACAAAGCAGTAGAAGAGTAATGAGAGACAAACTAACACGTTGTTTTGATCTTTTCACAGGATTTAAAAATGTAGAACAGCACCAGCCTTCTCCTTTAAGCAGTAGTTCATCTATTATCAATTTACACTCTCAGAAACAACACCCACACTGCCCACACACAGACGTCCATTCAGCTCCTCTCTGACATCTGTGTTGATAATATGAATTTCATGCATTGACACTGGCTTGCGTCAGAGTTGTTGATTTTCATAGTTAAACACAATACATCCGTGTAGATGTGTACTTAGCTAGAAGTCATATTTCTGTTCTGGTACTTAACGCCTCCCACACTGTCCTCTCCTCCCCCTCAGGCACTCGTCTGACCGGGTGAACCAGCTCGAAGCTCTGGTGGAGACGTACAAGAGGAAGTTGGAGGATCTGGGAGACCTGCGCAGACAGGTGCGCCTCCTGGAGGAGCGCAACACCGTGTACATGCAGCGCACCTGCGAGCTGGAGGAGGAGCTCCGCAGGGCCAACGCTGTCCGCAATCAGCTGGACACCTACAAGAGACAGGCAAGCTGTGGGCTGAAAGGAGGAGGGAGTGATAGTTATTCCTGTGTTGACGTCCAAGCGATGTTAAACACAGTCTGGTGTGTGCACGTGTTTGGAAAACCTTGCAGTTTTTACAGAGAGCTCTTGCCAACGCAGACTGTTGCTATGCTCTCTGACTTGCAGGCTCATGAGCTTCACACCAAGCACTCAGCAGAGGCCATGAAAGCTGAGAAATGGCAGTTTGAGTACAAGAACCTTCACGACAAGTATGACGCACTGCTAAAGGAGAAAGAAGTGAGTTGGTGAACATTGTCAGAGAATAAAAGTTCAGCTGTGGTGGGGAAAGAATGAACACGTGCCTCTTACAGAGAGCTCTTACTGAGCTGTTTTATCAGTGCACAGCTTCTGTCTGATATCATGACCACACACTGAAGCCCTGTCATATTAATAGACAACATGCAGTGATATAGTTCATATATTTTTGTGATGGCAATCCTGCGTGGATCAACATTTGTTGTGGTAATTACAGGACTCACATCCCCGCAGGAGGAATTGTTGCCAGGCAAATATCGTACTATTCTTCAGTGGACTCCCACGTCCTGTGTCAATTCTAACACCTCCTGCAATCTGACAGGAGTGATTAATGTCCTCGCTTACTTGTGGGAGTAATTAAGGAATACATACTGTACTGACATGAAGTGTACATTTACTTGTACTACTTCAAGGAAGTGTGTGAGTCCAGATAAAAGAAACTCATCGCTCCACAGGGTTTGATGCTCATGCTGTTAATCAGATTTCCCCTAATTACTGTCTTTTTATTAATGATGTGAAATTAAATTAAGTCCATTTTCATGCGCATTTCACAGCTTGTCCAACAAAACCTGATGGAGCATTACTTTTTTTCTAAATATCAGGGGCTGGTTGCACAAAACACCTTAAGTTAAGATTTTCATTAAAGTTCCAGTTAAGGTTTCCCTCAAAACAAAATTGGTTGCACAAAACACCCTTTAGTCTTCTTAAGGTTTCCCTTTATTTACGGTTTTCTCCTTGTCTTGATCTTAAGGAATCCCTTGACCATTGCACAAAAGACCTTAGCAACCAAACAAGGTAAAAAAAAAACCCCTTAAGGTTTCTCTGACTTAACTGACTGATCTTAACTGCAGCGTGACCCAGTTTATGGTGATAAATGAAAAAACTAACCCACCCTTAGAATTCATTTTCATTGTTTCTTCCTACAGTGAGAGAAGCCTTAAGTGTCATGCTGAAGAAGAAATCTTAAGGTGTTTTGTGCAACCGGTTCCGGGTTTTTAAGGAAATGTGAATTGACGAGGGGTCCTAGAGCATACAGTCATAAATGTGCACAAAACATATTGGGCTGATTGGTCCAGTAGTTTGCAAGATTAGCCACAGACAGATGACACACAGCCTCAGCTAAGGAGAACATTAAGCCTTAGGTGTCATACTTAGGAGGAAAACTAAGGTGTTCAATGCAACCGGTCCCTGATTTTTATAAATATATATCTTTGGCATTTAAGCCTTTATTGGACATTCAAGTAAAGACAGAGCAACACCAGCCCTGCAACAAGGAATCAATCAGAATCCGGTTTATTAAGAGTGTCCTTAAAAAGTCTGAAAATGTCTTGGATCCAATTTAGTGAATATTAGGACTTCAGCGTCATGTAATAGTCTTAAATTTGAATTTGTGAGGCCTTATTTGCCACAAATATTTTATCTAATTTTATTCACCCATCTTTTATTTATTTATTTACTTGTTGGTCAAAATGAATCAAGCTGAATCAACAGAACCACCACTACTTCCCTTTATACCTAACCTACAATGCAAGAAAAAGATGATTTGTCCAAAAAAATCGGTCTTAAATTTGGATAAGAATGATCTTTAAAAAGTCGTTAAAAGCATTAAATCTGTGTCTGATACCTGTAGACACCATGTTATTGCCAAGAAGGTTTTTTAACATGGAAACTTGATTGAAGCTGAAGTTTCTGTTTCGATGTGCTTTGTTCTTTAGCGTCTGATTTCGGAAAGAGACACACTTCGAGAGACAAACGATGAGCTGAGGTGTGCACAGGTCCAACAGAGGTGTCTCAGTGGAACTGGTGAGTCGATTCACAAACTGAACTGCCTCATTAAAGGATCATTAAAGGAGAACTCCAATATTTTTCACCTGGACCCTATTTTCCCGTGTTTTTTTGCACAAGTTACTGGTGTGAACAAAATTTGAAATTTGTATCTTTCTTTAAGCTTAAAGATTTTCAGTGTCACGCACGAATATTTAGCTGATTTAAGCAATGTGAAAAAGTCAGTGAGATATCAGAACGAGACTTCTCCTTGAACACAAAACAGACTGAAACAAGCGAAAGGTACAGAAGAATATTTAATTTCTCTGTAGGGTTCTTTCTGTAATGTTGTCAGGCACTTAAAATGATAATCTGAGCCTGTCAGTGGCAAAAACAAGCACTTAAATAGACGTTAATTGACAGTGCAGACTGCCCAGTTGGTGCGCTGTAGCTGTAGTCCAGGTTGAAAAATATTGAAGTTACCCTTTAAATTAAATTTAGTTAATTTAGTTACCCACTGACACTTCCCTCTCTCTCTCTGTCTTTTTGCAGGAGGCTTGTGTGACAATGATGTCACAGTAGGAAACCTCGCTGCAGAGATCATGCCCACTGAGCTCAAGTATGTTTGTCATGCTGTATCTGTGGTGTGAGGAATACATGTGTACATAGGAGTCAAACTTAAAGGAATACTTTACCAAAAAAATCCATCCATTCATTTTCAACCGCTTATCCGAAGCCATGTTGCGGGGGCAGCAGGCTGAGCAAAGTATCCCAGACATCCCTCTCCCCAGCAACACTTTCCAGCTCCTCCTGGGGGACCCCAAAGAGTTCCCAGGCCAGATGAGATATGTAATCCCTCCAGTGTGTTCTGGGTCTGCCCTGGGGCCTTCTACCAGTGGGACGAGCCCAGAACACCTCTAACAGGAGGCGCCCAGGAGGATCCTGATCAGGGGCCTCATTTATAAAAGAGTGCTTAGGATTCATACTAAAAGTTGACGTGCGCCCAAAAGCTGAAAATGGCGTGCGCCAAAAAATAATCTGATTTATAAAACCGTGCGCACGCACACTTGGACTCAGTGTTCTCTTTATAAATCACAGACCTCCTGGAGTTGTGCGCACCCAGATCCGCCTCATATTCCGCCCTCTACATGCCCTAGTTCAACCATAAATGGTCATGCAAATCACCTCATGAATGCGATCTGCATATAAATAAGCTGGCATGCGAGTGTTCTCTCGTTGTGTGAGTCACAGCGACAGGTGTGAGAAACGAACCAAAAAACGGAATTTCTCCGAGATTGAGCTAGAGACCCTTGAACGGGAGGTGGAGGACTGAAGAAAGATTTTATTTGGTGGCCACAGCAGCGGGATCACTAATAAAGGAAAGCAAAAAAAAAAGTGGCAACACGTCAGCGCTGCTGATGCTGTCAGCTGTGTCTGTGGGACTGCACGGACAGTGACAGAGGAAAAAAAACGCACGAGGGTCACCGCAGTATTTATATGTTTATAGCAATTGGTCTGATCAGACTCCCGGCCTGAATTACAGCATGAACCAGTGGTATCCCTGTCCCAAAATACAACGTGTAATTTGAAATACAATTCAAAGATGAAAGTGTAATAGGCGAACACGTTTCTTCATGCCGGTTTTGTCATGCACATCTCAAAGTAGGGCTGATGAAATGAGTGTAACGGTTGTGCTTAATGGCTGTATTTCGAGACATGATAAATGCACTGGAAATATTTAGCTAAATAAATAAATATATTCCATGCAGTCGCGCCATCCTCTCCCCCTCCTGTGCTCACAGAGTGGACAATGAGACGTTAGAGGCAGTGCGGATTAAATACGTATTTAGAAAGAATTTCAATTCAGGATTTGAGTTGGATTTTACAACGTTTTTATGAAACAATTATCACTCACTCCAAGCGCAAAATAAGGCTGCTGGATTTAATTTCAATGATAACATGGATCTAAGGTGGATATAGTGTGACATTAAATTTGTATTAGACATCAATAAAAATCTGACTCCACTTCTCCACCTCGCCGTCTGCGTTGCCACTTCGCAGTGTCTCCAAAATGTGCGCACGCGTGACTCAGAGTTTGCTTACAGGTGCGCACATTCTCCCGCCAAGTTTATTTTTATAAATCTCAACCTTTGCGTGGGAAGTGGCGTATGCCACTTTCAAGCCCCGTTTTGTGCGTAAGCAAGCTTTATGAGGCCCCAGATGCCTAAACCAAAAAAATGACCAAATTTTTTTTTTCTGTTTACATGTTAATTTATTGATTGATCGGGGACCACGTTTAACAACGGCAAAACTATAACAAAGCATCTGTTTAAAAACTTTAACATAACTCCCGCAATATAATCCAAGTGTCATTTATCCAGTTTTACGCTCAGAATTTAACAAACACAAGCATTTCTGCTAAAACGTTACCGTATAAAGAAACACTGTGTAAGATTTAGGGGGTTTAGTGACATCTCGTGGTGAGGATTGCAACTTACAACCAGCTGAAACTTCTCCCAGTTAGAATTCCTTCAGTGTTCATTGTTCATGAGGTTTTTACCAGGAGTTGAATTATCTACGAAGATTCCCTCCTCTCCAAAACAAACGGACCCAGTGATTTAAACCACTAAAAACGCTGGATAAAGCAGTTTAACGATAAAAAATTGTGGTTTTCCAACACTCACTACAGTAGCTGACACACAAATGCAAATCCCCTGTGTAGAGCTTGTGTTTGGTTTGTCCGTTCTGGGCTACTCGTCATGATTAACTAACATACAGATGGTCGTTCTGTGGGTGAAGTATTCCTTTGAGTGTAAACGATTATATTCTAAACGTGTAACACACATGCACTTGTGTCACTATCAGCATCCCACTCCTGCTCTATATTCATCTCCTATAGTCCGAGGCACAGTTGGCCCCCGAAATAGCAACACATGGCAGCGCTGCACATTTGGTCGGGGCGTTGTCAGATAACTCAGCAGACCTTCCTTGCCTCTGCCACTCTCTGACCCATTTTATCTGCCCTCCACTTTCTTTACCCCCTCACCTCCTCTGCCCCTCTCCTCTCACTGTTCTGTTCCTCGGATAGGGAGACGGTGGTGCGTCTACAGAGTGAAAACAAGATGCTGTGTGTCCAGGAGGAGACCTACAGGCAGAAACTAGTGGAGGTGCAGGCTGAGCTGGAGGAGGCTCAGCGCAGCAAGAACTCCCTGGAAACTCAGAACAGGTAGGGGGGTGTGTGTGTGTGTGTGTGTGTACTCAATGTGCAGTCCAAGTTCTTGTTCTTGTTGTGTTAAGTAATCCTTCTAGGCCACCATATTGTGTGTTCCTGGACATTAAGCTGGTTGTTTGGCTGACGGTAGGAGTGATATCTGCCTAAATGTCAACTCACCCTCTGGACTGTGTGCTCAACTGAGCTGTGTGGGCTGGACTGGAGGACAGACAGCAGAAAGCCAGATTGTCCCTTGACTGTGTGTGTGTGTGTTTACATGCCTGTGGGCATGTGGACATGTGGGTGGACTGCGCGTGTGTGTGTGTGTGTGTGTGTGTGTGTGTGTGTGTGTGTGTGTGTGTGTGTGTGTGTGTGTGTGTCCATGCAACACCAGGCCCAGGGTGTGGGAAGCATCCTCAGCAACAGTAACAGGAGGAGAGGAGTGGAGTGAGCATGCTCAGTAGAGAGCAAAGCGGTGAATGGCCAGACAGCACACTTGGGGGAATAGATGAACACCGCCTGCAGCAGATGTACACAGATCCACATGATACTTTGCATACATCTTCCACCCACAGTATCAACTTCATAACCTTGTGTTTCATCTTTACCGTCAACCTCCCGTTTGTTTGTTACTCCCTCCACAATGTTCCTTTAACTTATTATTGTCTCTGTTTCTTGTATCTTTCTTCGCTCCTTCTGTTGCTAACCTGTCTTCTTGTTTGTTTCCAAGATTAAACCAGCAGCAGATCTCAGAGCTGCGCGCTCAGATCGAGGACCTCCAGAAAGCGCTCCACGAGCAGGACAGCAAGACTGAGGACGTGAGTCAGCCGGGAGACCTTCCTTCCCACTTTTGTTTTAACTCTCCTCATCACGAATCATAGTTTCCTACAATCATGTTGACAGAATATAGAGACTATTTACAGAGTGTGCATGGGAACATTTTTATCAGGGATGCACCGATGGTAAAACTCTTGGCCAATAATGATGTTTAACGGGGTTCCTGCGAATCTGTAAAAAGTCCTAAAAAGCATTGAATTCATTTATTTAAAGACAAGGCCCTAAATCAGTCTTTCAAATGCTAAGACATTGGAAGTAGGATTTTTTTTTTTTAACTTGGAGGTTGTCATGGGTGTTATAAAGTCAAATCACAGTTCATTTTCTCACTTACATTTTGGCATACACTGTCACACTTTCACAATGGCTTGACAAGCCTTGAGCTCGAGCCTTAAAATAAATAAATAAATAAATAAATAAATACAGTATTCCATACAGTATCGTTCGCGTATAATCCCCAGCCGTCGGGCCAGTGTTGGAGGTTCAACTTGCGACCATTTTCGAGTTATGGCTTTCCTGCTATTTGCCAAAAATATCTTTAATAAATATTTATCTTTGTGTGGGACAGTTTCAGGTTTTTTTCTGAGGTTTAATGTAGAAAATGAGTAAACTCCCTCCTAATTATCTTATGAAACAATCCAAATGAGGCTCAGTGTATTTATGCAAAATGTTTTTTAAACTCAACACTATGAGGATTTAGGCAGAGTGAGAAACACAGAACCGGCAAGAAAAGTCTTAACTCTAGTGAATACGTGGGTAAAATTGTCCCTAACCCTACGTAATCGATCTCAGTACGTGTGTTTGTTTGTTTGTTTTTCTTTTTGGACTTGAATTTAATTCTGAGAGGCATTAAAAACTTCTTAAAAAGTGTTAATGTTGCCTTAAGCTGTAGGAACCCTTGTTTAAAATAACAGTCGCTAACAATAGCTGATACAGATGTTTTTGACGTTGTTGTTCAGTTTGTTTTTGTTGCTATTTATTCCCCCCTTTTGTGCCAGAGCAGCAAATATATCTTCATTATAAAAAATAACTATTTTAAGGTCATTCACCCTTTTCTTACACTACCTTTTGAATGAAATTCAATCACACAGACTTATGAAACAACCTTTAATTTGACCTTTCACATGAAAAACATCCCATAAAGAAATGCTTCAAAAGCTTTTCTATTAGGGATGTTCCTGAAGACTTATTTACTTGATGTTTAAACAAATACATTTAAATCAGTTGACTAGTCTTAAAGTAAGAAAACGCCCAGAAAACACTTAAAATTTCACACAATTTAATATTATAGTTGATATTGTGTATATTAAAAGAGCCATTAGAAATTCTTAATCACATTTTTCAATAACCAAACGGCACTATAAATGTCTCTGAAACATGTGACACTTCGCACCGTGCATTGTGAACATTACACGTCCTATAAAACGTCACAACTCACTAAATAAAAATGAACAAACAACATATTTCTTACTGAGTGTTTAACATTCCAACTCATCCCATTCAGAAACACATCTACACACATGCTCACATGGTAACTGTCATGCACGCTCTCTTAACTTTATCAGACGAGTAGCCGACTGGCGAGGGTGGCAACATTAATTGATTCGTCAATTAATTGCACACATCCCTACTTTTTCTAAATACATAATAATTAGTGAGTTCACTGCGTCCTTTCATCCTGGCAGCGTCCCGGGGAAGATCTCTGCTCGTCCTTCTGTCCTCTGGATGATGCCATGCTGTTAGTCTCGAGTCCTGCTTCTAGCCTGAGTAAAATTGATGTGACACAGCAGAAAAACATCAGCCACTGCCATTGGTGAATGTCATATGATTTGCTGACAGGCCGATGGCAGTCAACAAGGCGACTATCAGCAGATACCGATGTTCGGTTGATAAATCGGTGCATCCCTACATTTGTTTCCTCATAAAACCTTATCAACTAGCTGCATGGTGTTTTGAGTATATTTAGAAGATGACTGTTAAACACTCAGCTGTCGAGGACTGCACTGTTTGTTCTACTTTGATTTATGTTGTGTGGGATTTTAACCCATGTTTGCTGTGGTGATTCACTGTTAACGCCTGCCCCTCTCTGTCTGTCTCTCTGTGCCTGCCCCCATCGAACAACTCTGCCAAAATCAGGCCATCGTAAGTACGGCCCACCCTCTGTCCACCTGGCCCGTGATTTAACTCTTTGCCAGCTTGACTTTTGCAGCTTATACTGTGTCTATGTATGTGTGTGTTCTTTAAAAAGCCTTGTGTGTTTGATTTGATTTTAATGTGTGTTTTTTTTTTTCTTCTTCTTTAAAGTCCTCCTTACTGAAGAAGAAGCTCGAGGAACATTTGTAAGTACTCTGCTGCTTCTTACAGACTATTTATCCTTGTTAGTCCCAAACAAAAGTGAGCTCACACACTCCTGGCATGTGGCTACTGCAGGGAGAGGCTCCATGAAGCTCACTCAGATCTCCAGAAGAAAAGAGAAGTCATTGACGACCTGGAGCCCAAAGTGGACGGCAACAGTAAGTCATGTAATATTCTGCCTGTCTGAGCACCTGCCAGTGTCCACTCTCTCCTCTCTATTTTAACACTGTCCTTATTTTCTCTCTCTCAGTGGCAAAGAAGATAGATGAACTCCAGGAGATCTTGCGGAAGAAGGACGAGGACATGAAGCAGATGGAGGAGCGATACAAGCGCTATGTGGAGAAGGCGAGAACGGTCAGTCCACCTAAACGGAACATGTTGTCCTCAGCATATGGCTCTAAAACAAAACTATGAGGGTTATTTTTTTCTCACATCAAAATCTGTACTACTGCACATGAGAAAAAAAGTTGTGTAAAGCCTTGTGTGGCTCCAGAGCTCTGTGAAATCTGCTGTATGAAATACTCAAGCAGGCCTGCCAGGATTTCACTGGCTGTTTTTTCCCCCAAGTGTGCTGATTTCACAGAAGCTTTTCTGAAAATTTGTGATGCAGGTTGTGATGATTTTAGATGTTTTTTGCAATGAAATTGAAGCAGCAAGTGAAAACTGCAAAAAAAGACTACAAAACGTTTCTCCTAACCATATCTAACTCACCTTGATTCTTTGAGCACGTGCAATAGACCTGATGCAGCAGCCTCTGTCGTGGTGATTTGTCTCGTCTGTTGTCACCGTGTTTTGGGGATTCTCTCAGTATGTTTTGCATTTTGTTTGTGCTCCACCACAACGTTGCACGTGGTGCAAAACAGTGTACCCATACTTTCATGCAGAACATCAGAGAATTATCTTTCTTACCCGGGTCCCCGCCCCAATATACCCGGCCGCAATGCCAGTCCCTGCAGGGATGCGGTCATTACGTGTCGCCACTGAAACGTTCACTTATAGCCTCTCTTTGGCATTTGAACATGTAATGGCTCCTTAATTAGCAAGTTGACTTTACATAGACGGCATATCTTTTCAGTTTCTTCTGACATTGTGTTGTTTGGTTTGTTCACCGCTCCGTGACATGCGCGTTAGTGTCGAGCGGGCGGAGGCGTTGATCTCCCCCCTTCCCCCCACCCTCAGCTCTCTCACTAAGCAGCCTCCCTCTGTTTCTTCTCACTCAGCCTCGTTCAGCCTCGATCTCGTCCCTTCTATCGTCAATGGGCAACCCTACTGGTTAGTGACCAAAAGAATGAGATCGCGGATACAAGCGGCCAAAATGAGTTTCCTCCGTGGGGTGTCTGTGCTCAGCCTTAGAGATAGGGTGAGGAGCTCTGACATCCAGAGGGAGCTCAGAGTAGAGCCGCTGCACCTTCATGTTGAAAGGGGTCAGTTGAGGTGGTTCAACATCTGATCAGGATCCTCCTGGGCGCCTCCTGTTAGAGGTGTTCTGGGCTCGTCCCACTGGTAGGAGGCCCCGGGGCAGACCCAGAACACACTGGAGGGATTACATACAGTCAGGTCCATAATTATTTGGACAATGATACAGTTGTCGTCATTTTGGCTCTGTACACCACCACAATGGGTTTTAAATGAAACAATGAATACCTGCTTAAAGTGCAGACTCTCAGCTTTCATTTAAGGCTTTTTTCAAAAATGTAGTATGAACCGTGTAGGAATTACAACCATTTCTTCACACAGTCCCCCTACTTTAAGGGCTCATAAGTATTTGGACAAACTAACATAATCATCTATTAAACAGTCAGTTTTAATACTTGGTTGCAAATACTTTACAGTCAATGACTGCCTGAAGTGTTGGACACATAGGCATCACCAGATGCTGGGTTTCTTCCCTGGTGATGCTCTGCCAGCCCTTTACTGTAGCCGTCTGCACTTCCTGCTTGTGTTTTGGGTGTTTTGCCCTCAGTTTTGGCTTCAGCAAGAGAAACGCATGCTCAATTGGATTCAGGTCAGATGATATGACTTGGCCATTGCAGAACATTCCACTTCTTTGCCTTAAAAATGTCTTTGGTTGCTTTTGCATTATGCTTCAGGTCAATGTCCATCTGCACTGTGAAGCATCGTCCAATGAGTTTTGAATCATTTAATTGAATTTGAGCAGATAATGGTGCCCCAAACACTTCAGCTTTCATCCTGCTGCTCTTGTCAGCAAGACAAGACTTCACTAGAATAAATACAGAGGGTTTATCACAAGATGCAAACCGTTGGTTAGCCTTAAAAATGGAAGGCCAGATTAGAGTTTGTCAAAAACCATCTAAAAAGCCTGTACAGTTGTGGAACAGCATACTATGGACAGATAAAACAAAGATCAACTACCAGAATGATGGGAAGACAAGAGAAGGAAGAAGGGAAGGAACTGCTCATGATCCAAAGCACACCACCTCATCAGTGAAGCATGGTGGAGGTACTGTTATGTCATGGCCATGTATGGCTGCCAGTGGAACTGGTTCTCTTGTATTTATTGATGATGTGACTGCTGATAAGAGCAGCAGGATGAAAGCTGAAGTGTTTGGGGCACCATTATCTGCTCAGATTCAACCAAATGCTTCAAAACTCATTGGACGATGCTTCACAGTGCAGTTGGACAATGACCTGAAGCAAAAGCAAAAGCAACCAAAGACATTTTTAAGGCAAAGAAGTGGAATGTTCTGCAATGGCCAAGTCATATCATCTGACCTGAATCCAACTGAGCATGCGTTTCTCTTGCTGAAGCCAAAACTGAGGGCAAAACACCCAAAACACAAGCAGGAAGTGCAGACGGCTGCAGTAAAGGGCTGGCAGAGCATCACCAGGGAAGAAACCCAGCATCTGATGATGTCTATGTGTCCAACACTTCAGGCAGTCATTGACTGTAAAGGATTTGCAACCAAGTATTAAAACTGACTGTTTAATTGATGATTGTGTTAGTTTGTCCAAATACTTATGAGCCCTTAAAGTCGGGGGACTGTGTGAAGAAATGGTTGTCATTCCTACACGGTTCATACTACATTTTTGAAAAAAGCCTTAAATGAAAGCTGAGAGTCTGCACTTTAAGCAGGTATTCATTGTTTCATTTAAAACCCATTGTGGTGGTGTACAGAGCCAAAATGACGACAACTGTATCATTGTCCAAATAATTATGGACCTGACTGTATCTCATCTGGCCGGGGAACACCTTGGGGTCCCCCAGGAGGAGCTGGAAGGTGTTGCTGGGGAGAGGGACGTCTGGGGTGCTTTGCTTGGTCTGCTGACAGGCGGGGGCTCAGCAGGGACGGAGCACCTGCTGCAGCAAGCGAACACGCAGTCTGGGGGTCATTTTGACTTGACCAGCAGACTTCACTACAAGCCAATTGGCCGTAGAAACAGGTGACATGCTTTAAAAGCAGCAGCCGGTGATTTGAGCAGCTGAGTTCCAGGTGACACCATCAGCCGACCAACCAGTTCACACCGCTGCAACTTTTCTTTGCACATTTTAAAACGGTTTCATCTCGTCTCGACTCTTTGGTCTGAACTGGGCTTAATTCTACAAGTAGTATAACCCTGCTGATGTTAATTTTGAATTCAGATGTTATAAATGAAGCTTTAAACTCTGTGATTCAGGAGTGCAACACTAAATGAGTGGAGTAATATTTTAATAAACGTCCTGTGTGTGTGCAGGTGATCAAAACCCTGGATCCCAAGCAGCAGCCGGCGCCCGTGTCTCCTGACATCCAGGCTCTGAAGAACCAGCTGACAGAGAAGGAGAGAAAAATCCAGCACCTGGAGGTACGAACCTTTTGACATGAGGAAACAAAGCAGTTCACTGCAGCTCTTTAAATCTCACTAACACACGATGATCTGCTCCTCAGCATGACTACGAGAAGAGCAGAGCCAGGCATGACCAGGAGGAGAAACTCATCATTACTGCCTGGTACAACATGGTGAGTGGAAACACGGAGACAGCCTGAAGGTGTTTTATGTTTTTATCTGTAGTGTCTCTCTCTAGTTAGAAACAATTCTGCCACCTTTGATTTTATGATTTTTTTATTATGTTTTATTTGAATCCAAACAAGGATTTTTACTGGACGTCAGTGATTTGCATGAGACACACGTCCTGACTCTACGCATTGTCTTTCACACCCACACCTGATTCTTCACTCCTCCTTTGGTCTCTGTCTCGCTCAGGGGATGGCGTATCATCAACAAGTGTCTGGCGAGCGTCTGGGGCCATCTAACCAGGCCATGTCCTTCCTCGCTCAGCAGAGGCAGTCCACCAACGCCAGGAGAGGCCTGATGCGACACCACCCGAGATAAGTCGTCCAGACAGGAGACAACACGCTGGATAGAAGCCTAGAGAAGACGAGGTGATCCACAGTCACCTGTATCTTTGCCTTAAAGCCTTCACTGGATCACTGCACCTCAGAGTATTCGTCATGCTGCTGCTGCCCCCTGCTGGCTCTTAATGGTACGAAAATGTTTATTTTCCCAGCGGAGCCCTGGAGGAGACTTTTTTAACTCTGCTGTTAGAATCAGAGTGAACTCACAGAAACAGAAGACCAGAGTAGAGGGAGTCATTAAAGAGGCTGTCTCACCTTTTAAGGTGACTTTTATTTCCTCTGTAGCCTCACAGACTCGATCCTGTTTCTTTAAGGTATGTTTTAAACCTTTTTTTTTTTTGTCTTTTATGTTATACGGTAGGATTTAATGTGATTTACAGTTCACATGTGTAGTCAGAGAGGAGTTAGTAGGGGTTTTACATTTACTGCTGTAAGTGCTAAAGAAGACATGAAGCCACCCAGGCTTTAGACTGAACACTCAGCCGTCAGCACATCTTCTTGGTTTTGTTTGTTTTGGATTTTCTCATAGCTTTTGTTTTTGTCGTCTTGACCATGTGTTCTGAGTTTGAGCTTTTTTGTTTTAATTAGAAGGAACTCAAAGCGATGTAAAGACCGTGAGGGTGTGTTAGTGGCTTTAGTCTTTTCTCCTATCGTATTCACTTGAATCAGTTTCTCTAAGCTTAATTTTCATGATAAGAATTATTTGAAACACCAAAGCACTTTCCTGGAAGGTCGGGGTGTTTAGTGCCTCACTGAAAACTAAAAATACTCCCTCGATGGATGAGACTGAAGTCTGAAGTATTTGCAGTGTCAGCCCCCATCTCCTCGTCTCATTTGGTACAAGAAGGTTTTACTTAAAGAGAAACTGCAGTATTTTTCAATCTGGATACTATTTTCCCATGTTGTGGGGTCTAAGTAACTGATGGGAACAGTGATTTTTGAAACTTGTTTAGTATCAAGAGAGAGCAGCTGGCAGCAGTGGACAGGCTCCAGTATAACCACTCAGAGCAGGTGTGCTTTGTCACTTTACAGCCATTTAAAATGTCTGTTTTTGCCACTGACGGGCTCAGATTGTTACTGTGAGTGTCTGACAGCATTATGGAAAGGACCCTGAAGAGAAATGAAAAGTTTGTTCCGATCTGATTTGTGTACAAGTCTTGCTAACGAGAAGTCTCGTCCTAAAAACTCACGAGAGGTGACATGTTCTCGAAAGAAAACAATGGAATGATGAGTTGGAGAGACCAGTGCTGGGAAGAGTTTGTTGTGTTAGAGGCCGCACACATGCCGCGTCTTTACCCGCCTGGAAAACGCGAGGTCGAGCACTGGGCGCTACTTTTGTGCCTTTTCTGTGCCAGCTTTCAAGAGTGCGGTGGCAGGTTGCATCTGAGGTTGCTAAGCAACCTTAACAAGTACTGTATCGTAGCCTGTTAACATGAAATCCTGCTGTTTGAAATGCTATTTGTGTGTTGGCATATCGTTTGCTGGGCAGATGTTAAGTTCTGGCAGTCCTGCACCAAAATGATCAACTTTATTACGGACTAAGATTTTTGGAAGAAGGGAAAGATATCTTTTGGCTGCGATTGGTTGTTCCTCGTCACACATGCAGTAAGCGCTGCGTTCCAAAAGTTGAACTCCGTTTTTCTTGGATTGCAGCCCTCGTGCCTTGAAAAACAGGCACTCAGGAACACGTGAAAATCTGTAAGATAAGAGTAAGAAACACTCAAACGCTCAAGTTGCTCAAACGCTAGAGCGCCGCTGCTGCATGTCCTCATTGAAAACAATTCATTTGAGCGCAACAAAACGTGGCATGAGTACAGAAAGCATTTCTTACTCTTATCTTAAAGATTTAGCTGAAAAGAAAAGACTCCATTACGAACGTTTCAGTTTTTGTCAGGATCCTTTCTGTAAGGTTGTGAGACACTTAATAACAATGTGAGCCTGTCAGGGGCAAAAACAAACACTTTTACAGGACACACCTCCCTCGAGTGATTACATTGTTCCTCCACCTCTAGCTGCAGCACTCTCTGTCATTACTGGACCTATTTCAAACATTGTTGCTCCCATGAGTCACTCAGACACAAAAACACAGGAAAAAAGACTCCAGGCTGAAAAATAACAAAGTTTTCCTTTGAAGAATTCGTCTACTGCAGCCGTATCTTAACATGGCTGCTGATAACGTGACACCTGCATCTGATTTTTCTTAATAATGCTCCCTTACTATGATTTTTTTTTTCATTCTCTTCCCAAAGATTAAAACAGGGTGTTGGTTGTGGGTTGGACCTAATTGCACTCACCACTTTAAACTGATGTGACTTTAGGCTTTTAAACGCCTCCTAGTTTATCACAAAGACTGGAAAAACCGAAACACAAAATGTGAGTCCATTATGATGAAAACACTAATAAGGATAATCACTCAGCTAATGGCTGTTTACCGCTGCTACACCTCATTTACAGTTTGACCGAACTGGAAGGAAATGTGCTCATCAATACGCTGGAATCCTTTAGCTGTCTGCTGACAGGAAGTCGGAGGCGGTTTAAAGGTTAAGCCTCTAATAGATGGCGCATTCATCAACACTACTTCTGCCTTCATTCACTACTGGTTTATTTTTCCCTTCAACAGATGTTATTTTAGTCTATCCCATATCAGAGCTGCTGTTTTGATGACTTGTTCTTAGTTCCTGTAAATGTTTGTGCTATGGACCACTCAGACCAGAACCTGCTGTTGTGTTCACATTTTTATTTTTACTCATGTTTCATTGTTTGAGTTTATATTTATGGTGTTATGTCACTATCTCTGCTGCACATTTGCATGGCTTGAAGGGTTCAACATTTAGGTTGTTTGTATCATGTAATGGTCTAGTAGGTTATAGCATAGCGTACGTCATACAGGGATCTGAGGCAAGATGTGTAGCTCTGTCCGCTCTACTTTGCACTACAAATAAACGGGATGGAAAGATAAGAAATGGTTGTCTGGTGTTTTCTTTGCAAACACATTTAAAGAAGAAGAACCAACTGAGACATTTACAAACGTCTCCAGAAGGATCTGAGAAAGAAGACTGACCCAGGTTTTATCACCTTGGTCTGTCCTGTGGTTACACTTTAATTATGTCATGATCTAAAGGCCAAACTGGTGAGTCACACTTCTCACGTCCTTTGTGCGACGGCCTGAACAGTTTGAGTGAAATGTGAGAGCATTGTTCATCTATCACACCACTCTCTACAGGCACGGCTCAAACACTTGATAACCAGCGTACCTAAATGTGTCTCACCGACAATTAATCAGTAAACAAAATCCTGTAAAATGGTTTACATGATGGATAAAAACAGTACTTAACTGTTTAATTGCTTTTAATTTGACACATTGTGTAAACTGTGTTCTCAGTGTATCCTAAACTTCAAATGTAGCTGAAATTAGTTCAGTAAATTGGAGGCTATTAACTCTGAAGGGATCAGGTCAAATGTGGTGGATAACAGCTGATACTGATTTATCATACAATGAAAGAGAAAAGGTTAAATGTTTTCTGTTGTGATGGTGCAACATGTTTATGTGATTCAACCTGGGGAATAACCACAATACAAGTATCAAACTGAATTGTAATTAACAAAAAAATTGTTGTACTATTCTGTAGAAATTTCAATCTATAATTGAGATTACAGAATGTCATGCAACAGGCCTATTTAATATAATAATTTTCAAAAGTGAATGAAAATCATAGTATAGCATGTGATAAAGAAGTGTGGTATTGTATGTCATAAAAAAATGTATAAAAAAAGTATAAAGTGTAAAAAAAATAAAAAAATCATAACAGTGTGCCAAAAAATCTTCTAAAAAATGTCATGAAAAAAAGTCACGGTATAAATGTGATAAACATGCTAAGGTATGTTTTAAAAAAACAGTCATAGTATAGTGTGTGTGATTTAAAAAGTGTCATTAAAGAAACTAAAAAAACATTTAAATCGTGTTTTAAATGAGATTAAATGACTACATAATACTAAGTATGTCATTAAAAAAATAGTATATGTCACAAAATATATAGTATAGTATGTGATTTTAAAAGTCTTATTAAAGAAACTCAAAAAATAGTACTGTATGTCATGAAAAAAAACTGGTTAAAAGGTTAAAAAAATGTAAGAACAAGGGGGAGCCCTTCTGTGTGGAGTCTGCATGTTCTCCCAGTGGTTCCCAGGTCGCAGTGCAGATTAACTGGTGACACTTAATTGTAAGTGTGAGTGTGAGTGGTGGTTATCTGTCTCTGTGTCAGCTGGGATAGGCTCCAGCCCCCCCCCCTGCAACCCTCAACAGAATTTACGGAAAATGAATGAATGCCCCCGCCCTCTTAGTGTCTCAGTGTGTTTCACCTGTGTCCTAATGTGTCTCATATGTGTCTCACCTGTGTCCTAATGTGTTTCATCTGTGTCTCATTGTGTTTCACCTGTGTCTCATTGCCTCCCCTGTCTTAAGAGTATTTAGGTCCCTGTCTTCCCCTCCTTTGTTGCCAGACTTTCTTCACCTTTGACCACCATTGATGCCTGTTGGTCTGGATACCGTTGCCTGTGTAACTGATTACTCTTGTGCCTGATTAAAGACCTTACACTTTTATCTGAGTCTGTGAGTCTGCTTTGTGGGTCCCTCTCCAGTTTGTGCTTGACACAAAAAAATCATAATGAAAAATATAACAACGTATGTGATTTAAAGGGAAAAAAATTATAGTGTAGCATGTCTTCCAAAATCATGACAAAAAAGTCACAGTATAGTATGTCGTCCACAATCACGACAAAAAGTCATAGTATAGTATGTCGTTAAAAATTATGAAATAACGTCATAGTATAGCATGTCGTCCAAAATCATGACAAGAAGTCATAGCATAGTATGTCGTTAAAAATTATGAAATAACGTCATAGTATAGTATGTCGTTAAAAATTATGAAATAACGTCATAGTATAGCATGTTGTCCAAAATCATGACAAGAAGTCATAGCATAGTATGTCGTTCAAAATTATGAAATAACGTCATAGTATAGCATGTCGTCCAACATCATGACAAAACGTCATAGTATAGCATGTCGTTGAAAATCATGAAAAAAGGCATAGTATACCATGTCGTTAAAAATCATGAAAAAAAGTCATAGTATAGCATGTCATCCGAAATCATGAAATAATGTCATAGTATAGTATGTTGTTCGAAATCATGAAAAAATGTCATAGTATAGTATGCCGTCCGAAATCATGAAATAACGTCACAGTATAGCATGTCGTCTGAAATCATGAAAAAATGTCATAGTATAGTATGTCGTCCAAAATAATGAAAAAAAGTCATAGTATAATATGTCGTCCAAAGTCATGACAAAAAAGTCACAGTATAGTATGTTGTCCAAAATCATGAAAAAATGTCATAGTATAGTATGTCGTCCGAAATCATGAAATAACGTCATAGTCTCGTATGTCGTTCGAAATCATGATAAAAATGTCATAGTATAGTATGTCGTTCAAAATCATGAAATAATATCATAGTATAGTATGTCGTCCGAAATCATGAAATAATGTCATAGTATAGTATGTTGTTCGAAATCATGAAAAAAGTGGCATAGTATAGTATGTCGTCTGAAATCATGAAATAACATCATAGTATAGCATGTCGTTCGAAATCATGATAAAAATGTCATAGTATAGTATGTCGTCTGAAATCATGAAATAATGTCATAGTATAGTATGTTGTTCGAAGTCATGATAAAAATGTCATAGTATAGTATGTCGTTCGAAATCATGAAAAAAATGTCATCGTATAGTATGTCGTCCGAAATCATGAAATAACGTCATAGTCTCGTATGTCGTTCGAAATCATGAAAAAAAGGTCATCGTATAGTATGTCGTCCGAAATCATGAAATAACGTCATAGTCTCGTATGTCGTTCGAAATCATGATAAAAATGTCATAGTATAGTATGTCGTCCGAAATCATGAAATAATGTCATAGTATAGTATGTCATCCGAAATCATGAAATAACGTCATAGTATAGCATGTCGTCCAAAATCATGACAAAAAGTCATAGTATAGTATGTCATTAAAAATTATGAAATAACGTCATAGTATAGCATATCGTCCAACATCATGAAATAACGTCATAGTATAGTATGTCGTTCAAAATAATGAAAAAAAGTCATAGTATAGCATGTCGTCCAACATCATGACAAAACGTCATAGTGTAGCATGTCGTTGAAAATCATGAAAAAAGGCATAGTATAGCATGTCATCCGAAATCATGAAATAATGTCATAGTATAGTATGTCGTTCGAAATCATGAAAAAAGTGTCATAGTATAGTATGTCGTCCGAAATCATGAAATAACATCATAGTATAGCATGTCTTTCGAAATCATGATAAAAATGTCATAGTATAGTATGTCGTTCGAAATCATGAAAAAAATGTCATCGTATAGTATGTCGTCCGAAATCATGAAATAACGTCATAGTCTTGTATGTCGTTCGAAATCATGATGAAAATGTCATAGTATAGTATGTTGTTCAAAATCATGAAATAATGTCATAGTATAGTATGTCGTCCGAAATCATGAAATAACGTCATAGTCGTTCGAAATCATGATAAAAATGTCATAGTATAGTATGTCGTCCGAAATCATGAAATAACGTCATTGTATAGTATGTCCTCCGAAATCATGAAAAAAAAAGTGAAAATGTGATAAAAAAAATTTTTAAAAAAATCATATTATTTTGTTTTATTGGGCTACATAAAAAAAGAGGATGTTATCAGTAATATAAGGAATACAGTGTTATGTTTTTTCCAGAATGTCACACAACGTCTGATGACTCAAACTTTTGAAAGTCACAATGAGGAGAAAAATATATCAAACAGAGACTTTTTGGTCAGACATTTTAATGTCCATCCAAACATATTTCATTGCAGTGTCTGGATAGTTAACGACAGAAAATGTGGAGAAATTATGCATAATAAATCTTTTATTTGTACCTGCTAAATACCACATCCATACAAATTCAGTGGTTCTAAACTGGTCTTTCTTGTATGCAATCATGAACTCAGTGAACATATTGATTAAATATTCAAAGAACTCCAAAGCTACGAGGACTGAACTGAGGCAACCTTTGTGACATCCGTCCAGGACTGAAGGTGGTGCTTCCTTGTTTGTCTTCCTCCACTTCCGCTTGTAATCCCGGGCTTTGTGCTGCTGTGGATGTTTTTCGTGTGTCTTTTGTGTGTTCTGTGTAAATTGTATTGACATTGTCTCAAATAAATAAAAATAAATAAATAAATAAATAAATAAATAAATAAATAAATTCGATCATATGTCAGTTCCGCTTCCGGCACGGCAGAGGGCGCCGCCGGAGCCGTGCCGTGACGTCATCACGAGACATTAAACATGGCCGACAGCGAGCGGTAGATGGCGAAAGTTAGCGAAAAGCTTCGGTAAAATCTGTGAACTTTTGAGTGTTTGCTGCGGGTATTAGGACTTTGTTGCGTACTTTGATTCTCTATTGTTTTATCTGGACACATTTCACACATGAATTGGAGGGTTGAGTCGTGTTTGTCCGCCCGTACAGGCCTCAGGAGACCGGACGTTAGCCCGCAGTGTTAGCCACGTTAGCAGTCGGACCAGATATTGTTTTTGTCCGGGGGATAGTGTTATGCGTTAGTCGGCTGGCAGTGTAAAGACTCTGATTTCCTTTTTTATTTCAGTTTCCTTTGTTTTTTTAATCTGGATTGGACTGTGTAGCTGCACAGCTGGATTTACTCCGGAGCTTTTTGTATTAAACCACGGGTGGGGTCCAGCCTGTGTTGCAGCGTGTTGACGGTGTTGATTCATTTTGAGCCGCTGGACTGAACCTGTTTATAAACATTACACCCAGCAACATGGATCCAAAGCGCTCACACAGTAAACCACAGACAAGTGGCGGTGGTGGTGGCGGCAGCAGCAGCGACTCCAGCTGCGGCAGCCCCGCGTCCCCCTCCAGCAGCCCCGCACCGGCACCCAGCAAAGCCCCGGCACCGGCGGCACCCGGGGGCAACGTGTTCGCCAACGACGGCAGCTTCATGGAGATGTTCAAGAAGAAGATGGAGGAGGAGAAGAGGAAAAGGGAGTCGCAGCAAACAGGTGGAGAGGCGAGAGCCACCGAGCAAGGACAGACACCAGTGGAAAAGAAGCCCCCTCCAGTGACGAGCTTTGTAAGGGGTTTGGCAGTTGTAAGATGAGATAGCTATAGCTCAACACAGATTGAAGCACCATGCACTCATTGAGTCTTACTGCAGTTATTACATCCTGAAATAATGGCAAATATTTCAGTATTATTGCCTGTATTTCACACACATTCCAGTGCTTGCAGTATTTTATGAACACATTGTGGTAATATTTGTAGACCAGTGAAGACTAGGGATGCTCCTCATTGATGATGATGGTTTCGCTGGTGGTGCGGCAAGTGACTAAATGTAGACCTTCTGCTCTGGTGTAGTCTCCTTCATTGACAGTCCATCTGCAAGAGCTCCTATAACGGTTTCAGTCTTCTATCCCCTAACCCAGGTGGGGAAGCGCAGAGGCGGTGTGTTCCTAAAGACCGGCGTGGTTGCGAAGAAGCAGAAAGACGACACGGAAGTAAGTGGCGTTTGTGTTGTGGTGTGGAGTGAGTTTGAATTGTGAACCCCTGACTCATCACCTTGTGCTTCCTCTCCTGCAGGTCGAGCCAGGCAAGAGCGATGCTTGGTCAAAGTATATGGCCGAGGTTAAAAAGTACAAAGCCCACCAGTGTGGCGACGACGATAAAACCAGACCTCTGGTCAAGTAGGTTCCGAGAGGCGAGCGAGAAACGACGTTGTTTTGAGGGGACAGCCATCTGGGAGAAGCTCCGGGAGGGCCGGCCAATCCTGACCTTCTCATACTGCCAGTTCAAGTCACCCTTCATTTAAAGTCTCTCACAAACTGCTCAGTTTGACAGGCCTTCTCCCCTCTCTTTTTGTATTGTTTCTGTCTTGCTTGTTATCTGTCGGACCCTGGTAATCTGATCTGATGTCAAGACGTGTTTCAGAGACTTGGGTGTTCATTATTGATCGTTATTCTTTGTAAATGTTTTCAGATTTGACATGTCTGGGTTGAGTTAGGGTTCATTAACAGTTGGATTTCTTTTAATAGCCAAATCCAGGTGTCAATTAAAAATACACTGCCCATTAATGTGTGGTGTTGTGACTCAGTTTTTTAAAATCCTGTTATAGACACAACCTCAAAGAGTAACTTCAGTGTCTCTCAACCTGGCCCTTTTTACCCATGTTTTTGTTTCTAAATGAGCGAAAGCGCCACAGCCAGCAGCCACAAAACAGGCTGCAGTGTAATCCCTGCAGGCAACAGAGCACTGTACGTCCACTAACAGGGTTTGGTTTTGCCACTGACTGGCTATGATTTTTATTCTAGGTGCCTGACAACATTATGGAAAGGATCCCTTTTTGTTTAATGAGAAACAGCCCTGAAATCGCCCACCAGACTCCATTTAAATAAACATTAATTTTACCATTGTGAATCACTCTTCATTCAAAGTCAACAGAAGCAAAATAAAACTCAAAAAACTGTCATGGTTCATCTTCCCACTGTTCCAACAATCACCAACTCTGGTTTGGTTGAAATAAACCCTTAATTCACCCAGTTACATGTGAAAACATGCTGCCTCTATACACACCTAAATTACTGTTAATTTAAATGGAGTCTGGTGGGTTTGGTGATGGTGATTTCGGGGCTGTTTCTGGTTAAACAAAAAGGATCTTACTCTTTCATAAAAAGGTCTTTCTTTGTAGGGATCCTTTGCATAATGTTCTCAAGACACTTAAAGTAACAACGCAGGATTACCACACATTTTCACGGACAAAATTTAAAAACTTTTCCATGACTTTAGAAGAACACACTTTTTTTCTTGCTCTACTTCCCTGACATTTTTCAAACATGCCAGATTCTCATAGTATTCAAACATAATTTCAGCTTGTGGGCAAACATGAACAGAGAGATGCAAGGAGGAAATGGAGAAACGTACACGATGGTGAACAAAACGTCACATTGATGCATATTAGAGCTATGTTCCATAGCGCCACAAAATAAATGTGCTGAAGGTTATCAATGAAAGATTGTTATAACAATTTCGTTTTTTTGATTATTATTTTGCCTGAAATGACAGGACAGTTGGCGGTGTGGGGATGGCACACAGCAGGGAGCAGTGGGTGCAAGGACACCACTCCTGCACATGGGGCGCCGGAGTACTGTAACAATTTCATGGCACTTAAAAAAAATGCCACAACTTTTCCAAACCTTTTTAATTATTTTTACTTTATCCATGACTTTTCAGAGGCCTTGAAAATGTGACTGAAATTTCTCAACTTTTTTTTAGGTTTTCTATGACTTGGGGAAGTCTAATGAGCCTTTCAGTGGCAAAAACTAACACTTTAAATGGACCAGTGGAATTGACGATGCTTAGTTTCTTGCAGGGGATTACATCGCAGCGGTCTCAACCAAAAAATTGTTCCCATTTCGCACATAGAAACAACAATTAGGGGAAATATTTGATTTTCCCTTAAGGACTTTCATGTTCAGAGCAAACCAACTGCATCAATCCCACTAGATTTTGACGCCAGACCCTTTTAAAGTATGTCAAACTACTCTGTTGTGAAGGGAAAAATTTTAATTAAAAGTAGGTTTGAGTTCTATACAGAAAGAAAATCATTCAAGTACAATGAAAAAGTGTACAGCTCTCATTGGAGAAAAAAAAGTTCATTCTATTTGCAGTTTACATTTCTTACAGGTATCAGTGATAATTACATTATGATAAAAACAGCACCAAATAGACACACTGACCATGCATCAGAGAGGGAGACATACAAAAGGCACACGTTCAGTCCCACCTACCATTCAAACCCTCAGTCACACACACACACACACACACACACACACATCCCATCACTCAGCTAAAAATCCCATTCACTCCTCCCTGTCCACAGTGATATAGGTCTATGTTGTAAACATTGACAAACTGTATTTGTCATTTCATTTAACAATTCTATGAAGAATAGTATTTAAAAGTTATCAAATAATTTTAAAAAAGTTATATTTAACTGTGGTATTCATGAAAAGTTGAGCCGATCTTCTCAGATCAATTATCTTAAAAGTGTGACCCCGTCCTTGTGTCAGACCCGAGTTACACGTGGTCTGTCGGTTTTTCACCCACGTTCCGTCCTGATTTGTCATTTCGTGAGACAGCGTCCCCTGGGCGTTGAAATCCAGCTGCATCATAGAGTCTTCCTCTTAGCGTCTCCGCCCTGGCTCTGAACATCTGGACAGGAATAATACAGCTCTTGAAATTTGAGTGGGAAGCAAATCGACAGACAAATAACAGATAAAATGACTACATAAAAAAGGCATGCTGCCATCAACAGACGAGCAGAGAACAGGACAGGACGACCCGAGACAGAACACCAGACACTTGAGAAGAAGAGAGGAGGGCAGGGCGGGGGAGGGAGAACATGGAGCAGGCGTTTGAGGGCGGAGGGAGGGTCAGATTTTACCTGAGAAAGCGAGCTGCAAGTGAGGAGGCAGAGCAACCTGAGACCCTGACTGGAGACTCTTATACAGATCTGAGGAGACAGGACAGGGGAACAAGAAACAAGGAGGGAGGGAAGGGGGCGGGAGATGAGGGAGGGACAGATACCAACAAAACAGGGAGGAAAGAGAAGGAAGGAAGGACAGAAGGGAGAGAGCAAGGTGGTACAGAAGGGGGGGGGGGGGGGGGGGGGGGGGGGGGGGGGGGGGGGGGGGGGGGGGGGTGACAGCCAAACAGAGGAGAGGACAAAGATAGAAGAATGAAGCAGAGTGTGTGACAGGTTGAGGAAAGTAACCAATCCAGGATCGGCGTCAGTTTGGTAGGAGTGCAGAAAAAAACAGAAAAAGAGAAGTTTGGGGGAAATGAAGCAAACAAAATGGAATAATGTCAAACAGGAGAAAAATCACAAGCTTACATTTGACACACAATATGGTGATAAAACAAATGATGCTATAACATACGACACAAAACAAAGCCTACACAGGAACAGCAAAACACGACAGCAAGGCGATGCCTGCCTACTGTGTAAATATACATCTATATTTTAGGGATGCACCAATTTATCAGCTGACATTCGCCTTGTTGACTTCTGCTGCCTCTCTGCAAATAAGATGACATTCACCACAGGGCTGATTTCACACCTTGTTAAAATAAATCCAAACCGATATGACTGGACCATGTGTGACTTTAATTTGAAAGGACAGACACAGGAAGTGTCCACGCTCAGCAGTCAGACAGGAGTCAGGTTAATTTCCAGGGCTGGTACCTGCGGTTATTCCACAGGCTAGTTAATAACATGTCGGGCAGGAAATCCAAAGTGTGGGATCATTTTGAGAAGGTGAAGGACGAACCCAAGGTGATATGTAAACTCATCTTCATTGGTCGACTACAAACATGACGTATCATCTGAAACATGGAAGTAGCTACATGCCCATTAGCCCACAGCGTCATTAACAGGCGGCTCGCTCAGTGTGTGATGCGCACTTAAATACAGGCCTATATTAATAAATATAGGAGAATAAATAACAACAAAAACTATTATTTTAAACATCAATATCAGAATTTCACAGTTGGTGCATCCCTAGAATATTTCCCTTAAATCAAACTGCCAATAATAATCAATATTTAAATCTGAGCAGTATTCAGAGTGTCCATGTTTTTGCCCTGCGTGCGTCACTCACTCTGGGTCAGGGTGGAGAACGATGCATTGCTACTGGCTGCAGAGACATTGGCTGCTGCACTGGATCCTGCTGTACCCAGTGGAGGCAGGTTTAGCAGCGGGGGGAACTGGAAGGGCAGGGACACGGGCACCAGGCCCCCTAGCATCCCAAAGCCCAGGGGAAGAGATGAGGGTGAGCTGAGCAGACTGCTGCTACCTGCTGTGGAGACCTGAGCACAAACAGGAAGGTTAACAATACTATATACTACACTACTACAAGTTTAATACAAACTGCAAAATGTAGATACTGTGTCAGAAAACACATTTACAGTGTTTATAAGTTAAAACAAAATCAGAGAAGAACAGTATATAACACCCTTGTTTTAAAACCACAGCCCACACACAGTCTGATCAGTCTTCAAAACTCTTTCCCACATGTGTGATTACAGCTGGGTGATATACGGCCTATAATAACATCACAATATCTTTAGCCTATATCACCAAACACAACATATATCTCAATATTTCTAAAATCTTCTCTAAACTATTGTAAACTATTAAAATACTAAACAACTAAAGAAACAACTGTTAGAATAAAGTTAAATAAAATATTTTTAATAACTGTTAAAAGTTAAAGTATTTCTTAAAATAAAGTTTAAAACGTATTATAATTATAGTAGAGTTAAATAAAGTACTGTTAGAATAAAGTTAAATGAAGTACTGTTGCTGCTAACATTAAGTTTAATAAAAGTACTGTTAAGATAAAGTAAAGTAATTACATAAAGAACTGTTATACTACTACTTCCATAAAGATAAAAAAATAACTGTAATAATAAAGTTCAATACAGTACTGTAATAATGGAGTTAAATTGAGAATTGTTACTAAATAAAATCAAATAAAGTACTATTTTGATCAAGTTTAAGTAAGGTTATAATAAAGTTAAATAAAGTACTACTTCCATAAAGTTAAATTAGTAACTGTTAAAATAAAGTTAAATCAGGTACTGTTACAATAAAGGTACATCAGGTATTGTTGTGAAAAATTAAAGTGCTGCTGACGTTAAGTTTAATAAAAGTACTGTTAAAATAATTACCAAAAAAATGCTATACTACTACTTCCATAAAGATAAAAAAATAATAACTAATAATAAAGTTCAATACAGTACTGTAATAATTAAGTTAAATTGAGAATTGTTACTTAAAAAATCAAATAAAGTACTATTTTGATCAAGTTTAAGTAAGTTTATAATAAAGTTAAATAAAGTACTACTTCCATAAAATTAAATTAGTAACTGTTATAATAAAGTTAAATCAGGTACTGTTACAATAAAGGTACATCAGGTACTGGTAGAATAAAGTTAAATAAAGTACTGTTGTGAAAAATTAAAGTGCTGCTGACGTTAAGTTTAATAAAAGTACTGTTAAAATAAAGTTATATACTACTTCCATAAAGATAAAAAAAAAAATAACTGTAATAATTAAGTTAAATTGAGAATAAAATTAAAGTAGTATGTGAGTTATAAAAATTTTAAAAATACTCTTACAATAAAGTTAAATAAAGTCCTGTTTTACATGTTACATATCATGTTTGAGACTCTTTTTTTCTTTTTGTGTCTATGAGAGAGCAAGAGAAGCAAAACGCTGAAGCGACTCTCGTCAGTAGCTAAAAAAAAAAATGAAGTGAAAAATTATACTCAGTGTTTATGATTGTCATTTTATACATCCTATGTGGAATAAGCCACAACACACTGAGTGTAATCACTATATCTACCTCTCTGTGTGACTTACAGTTCATCAAATCAAAGTAAAATATTTTCCAGCTCAGCAGAACTCAGATATCTTTTGTAGTATTGATACCACAAAGTGAAACTACTGAGATATGTCAACATGCTTAATAACATCAATCTGAAGCACGCACACTACAGGTCACTAACGTGGACGTGCTGGTGGTACATACCTGTGGCAACTGAGAAGAGACGGACGATGATGGGACAGACGCGACTGGCTTGGCCCCCTGAGGTGTCCCGCCCCCCGGCCTCTGACGCTGGCCTGCGTTGGCAGAGGCTGTTGTGGGGGAGGCACTGGATCCTGAATGTTTGCTTATGGATATGGTGTTAATAAGGCTGGTGTTGGTGGTGCTGTTGTTGTTGTTGTTGTTGGGGGTCTTCTGGCTGCCTGGAGGAGTATAGCTGCCTTGCCCCGGCTTCGTTGCTCCTCCTTGGGCACCTGAGAACGGCGGGCGGAACCCTGCTGGGTTTTTGGGAGGGTACTGGTGCAAGGGGGGGTTTGCCTGAGACCTGGAGATGGAGGGTGAGGCTGAGGTGGTCGTGGTCACAGCAGGGTTGAGGGTGCGTGGGGTGAGTTTGACAATGGGTGGGATGCTGCTGTGGGTGGACTTGGTGAGAGTGGCGTGCATAGGGGTGATGAAGTTCGACTGCGGCTGGGGCTGAACCCCAGAAAGAGTCTGAGAGAGGGAGGGGGAGGATTTACTCTGCGGCGTCAGGGTTAGGCGGGGCGTCTGGAAGGTTTTGGGGGTCAAGTGTGAGGAGGACGTGAGGGTGTGTGGCCGAGACTGAGGCGATGTGATGATGAGTGTGTCACCACTGGTGGCTTTATTATTGCTGCCTTTGAGGAGGCCTGAAGTGGGCGTGGACACCCCCGTCTTTGATCCTGGGGGCACGAGCGGAGACGCAGTGGGCGGTGGGCGCGGTTTAGGTGATGACGCTGAGGCAGGCATGTTGGCTTTAGCCACACCCACAGCCAAAGTCCTCTGAGTGTTTAACACTGAGTGTCTGTGCGCCTGCACCGTGCCCTTAACGACCCCCATCGCGTCCACCCTCACTGAGGTCAGAGGAGAGGACGTGATGGAGGACGGCCGAGACAGAGAGGTGGAGGAAGACGAAGAGGTAGAGATGTAGTGAGGTGCGTTGGAGCTGGGAGTGCTGACAGAGTTCTTTTTCTGCTGCTGGATGAGTGGCGAGGTGTGAAGAGGAGAGGGCTTGGTGACGGTCTTGGGTCCCTCAGGGGATGGGGGGCTGTCTCCGTGGGCCAGGCCCTTGGCTGCGTTGCCAAGGATTGCCAGGGCCTGGGAGATGGAGTCCAGAGAGGGAGCTGTCAGATCCCCGTCGAGGGAATCGAGACATATGGGCTCAGACGGTGACTGAGGTGGTCGCTTGGTAACCTGGGCTGCGGGGGAGGGCGTGGCTCCTGTTGAAGGCGTGGGCCGCTGAACCCACACGGCCTCCTGGAAGAACAGAAACAACATTTACAGGGGAACCCCATCAGGACAATTTTTTTTAAAAATAATGCCAAATATCCACTCCTGAATGAGTTCCCTCTGAACCGTAAGTCACTACAAGAGTCTGAGAAGTCCGGGGCTGTTCATAAAACATTCAGGACGCCACAGTTTATTCCACACAAGCTGCTCCTCTTTTTGGAACCACCACGGAGTCGGTAATAATTTCACTTGCTGTGAGACCATGACAGAGGCACATCTGTTCTAACAGACTGATTGTTGCCTCTTTGCTGAGCTACACCAGAGAATATTTGGTTAAAACAGATCTGTGACACTGTTTCTTCCCTCATTGTCCTCCACGACGTGATGTAATGTAGCCCACAGTGAGCACTGCTACGCACTCTGTTTTAAAAATAGCCTTTTAAATGCTACAGTGCTTGTCAACAACGAGTCATGTTGTAACAGGAGGCAATTTGGCCTTGTGTGCTCAGATTAATTTGGCATGCAGTGAACACACACATCATCATTTTGTTTTAATGAAAACTCAAAACTGAAAATTTGCATTTGCTCCTGGTGTTCTTCACCACTGTTTTAGGGGAAGGAAACGAGAGTAAGAGGTGAACCAGCAGATCAAATTTATGCTGATGTGAATATTTGATGATATCTACTGTCTATCTAATGTCTGATATCACAGTATCGATATATTCCTCAGTCCTGGCCATGTCAAAAACTAACCCCTCTGAGATTGATATAAAATTCTAACCTTTGGCTTGGCCTTGGGCGTAGGGACCATCTTTTTCTTTGCTCTGGAGTGAGAAAAACAACAACACACGTCACAACAAGCTCCACAGGCCAAGGTTAGTTCTGAAGATACTGGTTAAGTCACATGACTCACGTGTAGCCTGTGAGGTGACCATGAGCCATGACGCTCTCTTTGAACAGCATCCTGTAAACAGAAATAAACACACAGGAAATATCAACACAAGAAAGATTCACATAAAGGGAATTATTGTTGTATAAGTAATCTCAGCATGACGCACACACCTGGCCTGCATCCAGCCTTTAGGCCACAGAGGTTTGACCTCAGTCTCCATGAAGGCTTTGAGGTAGTCCTCTAGAGACAGAGAGTTCTTTCCCTCCAGCTCGTAGCAGTCCAGCTTCACCTGCACCAGGTTACACAGCAACAACCTGGACACACAATGCAAAGACTCCGTCAGACAAAAGGCAAACTAATTATGATCACGGCTTGAAACTTTCTGTAAGCTATATCCATTCACAATTCTCTCTCAAACCCATTCCCACCACTTCCACCAATCAGCTGAATGTGGGTGTTCCAAACTTTGCCACGATCTCTTTCAGCCACTTTAAATCTGTTCTCCTCTCTGCTCTTGTCAGCTGTCACTTTAGGCGAAATCATCCCACCCTCCTCCACCCCATTCACCTCCAGTCACCTTATCCAGAGCCCAGGACAAGCTCATCAAAAGCCCACTCCTTGTCACACCCAGATCCTCAGCTCCCTCTTCATCCCATCTCATCACCACCACCAGCATCTAGACTCCATAGAGGGGTTTCCCCAATCTACTTTAGCCCCTTTTACACTGCCAGATTTTCGGCGAACGTTGGGCCGTTTTGCCGTCAAGCTGCGAGCGTTTAGACACACAGAGCCGGATTGGCGAGTTGATCCAAGGTGCCCAATTTTCCGCCTCGTAGGGTAGACATATTGGCGGAACCCTTTTAGTTTAAACAGACCGAGGCGGCCTTCAGCAACAGGAGGGGCTGTTGATGACTTGTGGGAGGAGCTGTTGATGACACCGCACGTGCGACCCACTGGCGGTGGATAAACAGGAAACAGCTGATAGCAGGAATTAGCAGCTAGTAGCAAGAGGGAAACACAAACCTGACAGACACTGTAAAGATGAGCAACTGGGGAAACAAGGAATTGTGCGCCCTCCTTGTCCTCGCAAACGAAGAGGCCATTAACCGTCAGATGACGGGGACGGTGAAGAACGGGCCGACTTATGAGAGAATCGCCGAAGGACTGACCAGCCGTGGCTTCCCTCCCACATCACTGTTCACGCCCCCCATTGCCCCGAAAAAGGCACATTCTGTATAAACAAAAGTAGGCAGGCGGCATTTTGCTGCACTCCCTGATTTTGTTTTTATACTGCCAATGCTGAAAAAAGACTGATTGGGCTTTCCTGCAAATTTGCACAATTCCTGTTTAAAAAGGGCTTATGTCTTTACCACCCTCTTGGAATATATGGCATCACGATGGGGTCCAATTGCCAATTTCTTTTCTCTCAAAACAAGTCCCTCCTGACTGAATTAAAGTTACCCAAAGTTACCCAGTCTTGCCTTTCCAGCTAGCAGGAGCTCACTTTGAGACGTACTACAAAATTTGGCCAAATGAAAACAAAACAGAGCGTCACGCCTTGCTCTAAGAACACCGCAGTTACCTCCCTGAAATGGATGGCCCGTGAGGACAGTTTGCAGATGGCTTTACAGAATGGAGGATGAAGTTGTTGGAGGTTAAAACTACAAACGACGATCATTTTGGTGCATTGCCAGTCGATGGCAAGCTCACAACTATTAAAAATGTGCATCTTCCAGTTCAGCTGCAGGCTACCTGTAAGCTATGCTATGTCATCTTTGAAGTGTTGTTTTAGTTTTCTTTTGACTCGTGCAATTAGGCGGGGGTGGGGAGCCAAAAAATAAAAAATAAAAAAATAAAGAAGAAGAATCATTGTTCCGGAGTCTTATAATGGTCCAAAAACCCTGCTGTTTATTCTGGCATCACATTCTTATGTAAACAAAAATGCATGTAAACAGAACAGGGAATATCGAGGTCACCAAACGATCGAGGTCATGTCCATGTATCTTACGATAAGTCATTACGTAATAATCGTGATAAGCCTTGGCACGAGCCGCACTCTAATTTACTGCCACTTGCATAACAAAGTCAAACTGACCTGAGTTTGTCGTCCCAGACAAACTTCTTTCGAGGGCCCATCACCCTCTTCCCTGGTTTCTCCTCGTCATCGTCCTCTGACCCGTTCTTCTCTCCCTCCTCAGACTGCTGCCTGTGAACACAGAGACAAGCATCATAAATCACAGCACCTCTCTAAATGATGTGGATAAAAATATGTTACAAAGCACACAGAGATGATGACTGATAAACTGCGAGCCACAGCTGACTCAAGACGCGTCCTTACTTTGCCACTTTAGCGATACAGTCCATGTTGTACCGAGCAATCTGCTCCGGCATCACACTGCACACTGCCAGCTTCAGCTTCAGCAGGGGCGTTCGGAGACGGTCATCCTGGGCGACGGGGATAAGCACAGTCAGAAATCACACACATATATTCAGTGCAGCTGAATGCTAAACATAGAATCAGAGAGCGGACACACAGCCAGCAGACACAGCAGTAACAGAAACAATGACGTAGCTTTCACACTGTTACATTTAGATGCACCTGCCAGCTCATAGACTCTCACTTCTGCGTATGTCCTGTGAAATACTGTGAAATATTTGTTCTCTTTGTGAGGCAACGTTTCAATCTACAAGATGTTCCTCAGGCCTTGTAGACTGAAACGTTGCCTTAAGCCCTGTTCGCTTGTAACATAGCAAACTAATATTACCAGGGGACCTCATGTGATTTGGAAATCAACCCCCGACATCTGTGTTTCCTGTGGCGCATTTTCATGCACACACACCCCACAGACACCACACAGCTCCACTAGCACTGATTTATGGTGTTACCGTCCTTATTTTTCTTCTCACGTGCGTTAAACAAACAGAAAGGATTCTGCCACACATTGTCATGTGATCTGTCTCATCATCTTTCGAGATGTCACTCTTCTGATGGATTTGAGCTTGGTTTTCCTGTGAACAGGTCAAGACAAGTTGTGTAGCAGCAACATGACAGAGTTTATGGTGATAATTGGAAAAAACTAACACCACAGGAGGAGTGTTGTGCGACCAGGAGAACCTGATCGATACGCTTTTCTTCCTGCAGTTGTTTCCTGTTTTCTGGTATTTAGGGATCAGATTTACTTTGTAGTTTGTGCTCTCCATGATTGTATTCCTCCAGATGTTTAATCTTTTCCTCCTCTCACCAATATGGTTTCCTTGTCTTCTTTTCTTCTGCCATTTTTTCACTATCTAACTATAATCCAACTTTGTGAGATGATGACAGGCGTCACAAGCACGAGTTCAAGCAGACAAACTATCTCCATGGAAACTTTTACCGCTGTAAAATCTCTTTCAACACACTAAATGACTTTTTCCTTAACTAAGGAAACCTTCTCAGGGATCTGTGCAACTGTGTGAGTCCCTCTGCTAAGAAGAAATTAAGCCTTTAGTGACATACTGAAGGAGAAGTCTTAAAGAGACAATAAGCGGAAATTCATCATTTCTAGATTGAAGGAATTAAAAAATCGGTATGTGAAGAACTAGAGGTGTAATTTCATCTGGAGTATAGCATGACCTCACACCCTCTCTCTGTGTTGATCTCCAGCCCCTTGTTTACAAGCCGGTCCGGCTGCGCGTTCATGTACGTTCATGTGAATCGCCGCCTCCTCCCCCCTCTCGGAGCCCTTGGCCCTCCCTCCCTATAAAAGACTACAGCCAGTGAGCGATGGCAGCGCGTATTTTCGAAGCAAAATGGCGGAGCGCGGAACGAAACGTTCACCTGAAGACGACCAGGATCTGACATTACCTCTAAAGAAACAACGGTTGTTGGCAAAGAAGTTGTCTTTTAAAGAAAGGGACAGAACTCGGATTAACATTGGCCTTTCATTTCCAAGGTGGAGAGCACTGTTAGAGCTAAAGGGGCTACAATCTGACTCGTAGCTAGCTCTTCTTCTCCTGGACAGGTACAACATTAAGTCAAATGTCTGTTTTAATTAGTGTTACAGTAACGTTAAGCACGTGTCGCTATGTCGATTCAATTAAATTTAATGTTACAATCATAGCATGGGTTAATGTCTGGAGCTTGAGTTATTAGCGGCTCGGTCCCAGCAATGGGTCAGGCGTTACAGTTGTGTTAGGTGAGTAGCCCGGCAGCCCAGCTAACATTTGCAATTAGCATTGTAAAATGTAGCCAGGTGAAAACATCGCTCTCACCCACATAGAAGAGTAGGAATGTTAGCGTTAGCTCCCAGTGTTAGCACTAGCCGGGATCCATTGATGGCTCTCACCGAGTTGGCTCCCACCAGCCACTGGAGTAACTCACAGCTATGGAGCGCTTCTACCAGCTCTTCTAGTCACTGAGCCTCGCCTCCATCTCAGCAAATACATTACATTTATTACAGGTACCATCATCACTGAAGTAGGCAGGGGAATAGCTAAACACAGCAGAGACCGAGAGTGAGTGAAAGACATCGCTAACTGCTAAACAAGTTTAGACGAGGCGAGTGGGGGGTGGAGAGCAGAGGTAGAGGGAGGTGTGGCTCATGACACACCTTGTTTTGGTCTACAGGCAGTGCACAACAGCGAACCTAGCGGTGAAACGATTTCGTTTATTGTCCCTTTAAGGTGTTTTGTGCAACTGGTTCCAGGTTTTTTTTTTTAAAAATCTGAATTGATGCAACGACGAGAGGTTCTTCAGCATACAATCATAAATGTACACAAAAAATATTGGTGCAGTAGTGTGCAAGATTAAGTGTAGACAGACAGATACACGACCAAATGCACTATCAACAAACTGAAAAGTTGCCCAAACAGTTCACTTTACTATGAATCCCTGTGACTTCTCGGCACTGAATTCTGCAGATGACTGTTTATAAAGCAAATCAAATGTCTTCTGAGCAGACTGTCCTCGTGTCAGAACCTGTGGTTTGTAACATGTTCCAACTTGAGGTGGCAAAATGTTTTGTTATTGTGTCTGACATTAATATCAATTGCTCCCACTCACCTGTATGTTGAGGCTGAGCTTCTTAAGGCGTTTGAGCAGAGCTTCTTTATTGCAGGGCACGAAGGCCTCCAGGTGAGAATAGACGATTGAACGCACCTCTGGAAGCTGCTCTTGGACCTGCAACTCAATACTGACACACACACACACACACACACACACACACACACACACACACACACACACACACACACACACAGGTAGGTGTCAGGGATTTACATCGATTTGTGTTTTGTTTTTATATCACTATGCAAACAATGGTAATCTGAATGGTACTCACTCCAGCAGGATGTTGTTCATGTCCAGTGTGAAGAATTTCTTCCTGCCTTCTGCGTCAAACAAACGGGACGCCTGCGACAAGGACAAAGATCATTTTTGTCTTTAAAAAAAAAAGATTATTTTTTCAGCCATTAAGCTCTTGAGACAGTTCACAACTGTTTGTGTTATTGTTTGCTAGTAAATATCATTTGTTCTTTTAACGCTGGGGTGTGTTGTTAATGTGCTAACTGGCTAACTAGCGTCTTGAATCCATCCTGATGGTCTTCCAGTTTCACTTTTTAATTACAGACTACTGCCGTGTGCTGATATGGAGAGCACAGAACATGCGAGCTAGTAGGGGTGTAACCATCCATCGATCTGCATCGATATATCAATTCAGTGATCAATGAGCTGGTATCATCAATGCAAAGTGAATACATCGATCCATATCGTCTTTAGGATCCGCTTTTATTTCGAAAGTCTGTGTCACCGTCAAACAGCAGCAGGCAGATGGTAAGAAGAGAAGGACGATGAGGATAACATTATTTACTCAGGAATAAATCAGTAGTGTGGAAACTCTTTGGATTTCGAAGATAATACAGGTCAAGAGACAGAGCACGTGGCGTTATAGGATAAAACACGACGTAATGTCACCTGCCTGGCTGAGCATGTCACTCCTTTAACTTCTCACTACAGTAACATGAGCTGCTCAGTTTCAACAATGTCAGGCTGAAAAAACGTGCCTGCAGACTGAAATTCGACTGCGTTGTTCTGTCAGGAGACGCAGTGACTTTGTAATATCGGCAAAGTCTGTGATATTTTCAAGTGCAACTTTTTAGCCATGACACAAGCGATGAGAGGTGATGCAACAGTCAGCCTACGTTGCAGCTAGTTCTTTGATTTCGATTTTTTATGTGTGGGCCTTTAAAAAAAAAAAAAAGAATATCTGTGGGTTTTGTAGATCAGGTTGACCAAATAATTTGAAAAGGTAATTTAATGCTCTTTTATCAGTATTTTACAGGCAAAACTACCAATCCAAAAAAAATCTACAGATCAGTCAATACTAAAAATAATTCTTTGTTGCAGTCCTAATCTATCAAATGTGATGCAGTGGAATAAAGAAGCCCGTACCGCTCTCAGGTCCTCGATGCGCTTTGTCAGTGGAGCAGGCAGTCCACTGGGAAGAGGGGGAGGAGCCACCACAGTCCCCTGTGACACTCTGCTACCACCTGCTTTATGTCCTGTCCCAAAGGATCCGTTCTCTCCCTGGAGAGGACTGGAGGGCTGAGGAGAGTCCAGCATCCCAAAGTCCAGGTCGCCCATCATGTCCTGCAGTATGTCGTTATTGGCTGAGCCCAGCAGTGACATCACAGCCGGGTCGGCAGCCAGGTCAGCCATGTTGCATTCGTTGCTCCCGGCAGCCTTGGGCTGGGTGTTGAGGAGTGCACTGTTGGCGTTGGGCACTTTGGCGGTGGGACGTGGCAGACCGGCGACAACCAGGTTCTTCTTGCGCATCTCCTCCTTCTCCCTGGTGAAGCGCCGCAGCATGTTGGCGAGGTGGATGGAATCCTTCATCAGCTTCTTCCTCTTCTTCTTTTCTGGACGATGAACATTCAGGGCTGAAACTCTGCCAGAACAAAGACAAGATAAGGAGGAAACATTTAATGACTTGCACAGAGAAAATATATTGAGTTTAGGGAATTCATCTGTGGTGATTAAAGGGATAGTTTGGATCTTTAGAAGAGGGGTGGTGTGACCTACTAGTCAAAAGGAACTAAATGTTCCCTTCTAAAACACTGCACAACAATTTGCACATAAAGCTGCACTGCCACACAAACTTGTGAGAAGAAAAAATACTGTGTGCATTAAATTACTGGAGAAACATCAAGCCTGAGATGAAACACAGAAGAAAAAATAAAACCCTTACCCGGGCTTTGGTACTTTATTCTTTCTGGGCTTCTTGTCCTCCAGAATTCCACCATCTTGCTTTTTCCGACGTTTTTTAATCACCCGCTCCTCGCCATCTTTCATCTTCTACAAACAGGTGCAAACAATGATGTTTGATATCATGGTATAACAACAGGAAATGAACATATCTGACTATTTATTGTGTATAATCTATCGAAGCAAGGGCCTACCTTGAAGCGATTATCATCTGTGCCTACGTTTTCTCCCTCAGAGTCGGACGCTGCTCTGAACTGCAGAGTGCCTGTGTTGATGTAGAAGCCTCCATGTTTTGTGGTGAGAGATGCCGGCACCAGCTCGTCATACTGAGGCCAGGAGAGAGAAGTATAATTACTGTTAGTTTACTTCTGCTATTGTGGCTCGCCAGGCTTTTACCACTGCTTAGGAAAACAGCAAAAATTAGACTGTTGTTGTCCCAAACTTATTCCACGTTATACTTTACTGTACGCACTTTATACTTTGGTTTTGCTGTTAGTATACAAGAAAGTAATGATACAAGACATGTGCATTCGAACTGCAACTTAAGAAGACAAATGCTGTAATAACTGAGAGCAACAAATTTTTTCTAAAAGATTTAAAATTTCTATGTTTATTTTATTTAGAAAGGAACGATGCACATTAATTACATGATCACTTATCGTCAATGTTACTGTAACATTTAATTTAATTTCAGTTGGAGTGGCATTAAAATAGTCTTGAATCTAACACTGACTCAAGTTGTGGGAACCCTGCGATCTGGGGAAAGAAACACTTTATCCCTGCTGACAGTTTGAGCTAAAGCAGGAAGCCTCAGAACATCAGAGATCAGTGGCTCTCAAATAATGTGCTTTGATGCCAGTCCAGGTGTGCTGTTGGATTTTGTGATAACCACAAATTATAACTGCAATATTCAACTAGGCCTGTACAAAAAGTTATGAATTCATTTTTAATTGACTCTATCAGTATGCTGTGTTCACCCATTTTCTAATAAAGAGGCAAAATCTAGTTAAAAAGTCTAACTTAATTAAATTCAATGAAAAAAAAAAACTTCACTGGGGAACCTCTTTGTCACCATATTATAAATGTGTGATTTCAAAAGCTCTGATTGGCGGCCAGTGTGAGGGATGATAACATTTAAACAGAGAAAGCCGTGAATGAGACAATGGATCGCTTTATTGTACAGAGCAAATTACAACAAAGCACCAGCGAAGACGACCTACCACTGTAAGACAAGACAAGTAGACCGTGCCATGAAAGCTATCGGTCTTATTTTTCCTTATTTTTATGATCTTATGTCGTGATAATAAGAGTGATAACACATGTTATAGAAGATGTTGTGCACAGATATAAATACAGGTGTGCCTTGAGATTTTGGCTCGCCCTTTGGTGTGTCTTGGGCACAAAAAGTTTGAAAACCACTGTCACAGATTCTGCAAAACAAGTTAAACCTTTAAGGACTGTGGGGCAAAGTCTTTGGAAAATAGTTTTTCCAAAGGATAAAACTTTTTTAGGTGGAAAACAACATTTTTTTTGTTGTCACCTTGTTTGCTGGGAGTTCATTAGCCTATTTTGTTCTAGTTTTGTACTTTGGTAATCGTACATCATTGTTAGCTGTTGTCCAAAGGGCTCTAGTTAAGCTATCGTTAACTTCTGGAGTTTAGCTTCATTAACTTATCTGTAATGGCAGAGATAACAAAGGTTGGCAAACGTTATGCTGAATGATTCAGTGTAAATACTGTAGCACCAAACTAACAGAGAGACACTCTTGGTAAAGATGGTAAAAAGGCCGTTATCCTTTTCTCATATTCTGAGCCAAAAACCTTAACTTCAGTGGCACTTTAACTTGTTGTCTTTGATGGCGACGGCAACCAGATGCGGTTCACAAGCGTACACTGTGATCTGTAAATTTTGGCTTGTAATTTAAGCTTTTCATCGACCTTCTCAACAATAAAATGATGAATATATCCCTCCAATGCGTAGTTTAGGCCCTTTTGGTTACTTCTCAATGACATCTGATCGTTATGTCCCCAAAAATCATCAATTGCCTCCTGTGAAATGCCGTGTACTGTGACACCTGCCATAGCGCCGGTCACTGAATGTTGATAGTTTGTCCGAGTGAGTGGAGGGGGGCGTGGCTTATCCATAGGTCAATTACAGTGATCAAAATTATCAGTTATCAGTATTGTTAAAATGTACTGACAATGTCCAAAAAGCACTGATACACTGAAATAATTTCACCACGTTTTACACCCAAAACCACAAACAAAGGTGGCAGCACTTTTTGTTTGCAAAAACATTAAACTAATAACATATATTTTACTTTATGTAAACGTATGAAAACCACATCAAATGTGCATTAATGTTAAAGACAGCCTGTCTGTGAAATGTTTGCTCAAGTGTCTGTGTTGCTGTAGATAAGGACAGAGGCCAGCAGCATCACAGAGTTTGTCTGCTGCACACCCACCCTGTAAACAAGTAAACAGCACAACAAACGCAAACTGTGCTGCGCCTGCGTCTGGGAGACTGTGTTATCTTTGATTGATGCTGGACAGTATTTACCGTTACAGTCTTTCAAAGTGTGGTGGTCAAACATGGTTTTAATGATAACCAAAGTCTGAAACATGATATTAATTGTCTGGAATTTAACTGTAGTTTGTTGTGAAACAGGTTAACATCCCCTCCTTAGTGACCACTGATGAGTAACACAGAAAATAATGTGTGTGCTTGAGCAAAAAGGGAACTCACAGCCTCTGAGTTGTCTATGAAAGGGTCAGTCTCATCGTAGCCGTAGCCAATGTCGATGAGATCCTGCATCCTGTCCTTCTTCTTCTTCTTTGAGACGCCACCCTGCAAATGGAGGTAAAACACAAAGATAGTTAGACATTCTTCTGCCCGCACAACATCTTCACAGTTATGACTGTAACAATATATTCGTATATCTTCAAACTATAACACTCACATATTTGTTCTCAAATTTCTTGGCCAGCTCTTCCACCTCCCGTCTCTCCCGGTCGTCATCAGCAAACGGGTCGCTGGGGTCCAGAGGAGGAGCGAGTCCTTTAGGGACTGTTGAACCTGCATGCTTTACCTGAGGAGGACACAGACATCGGCAAAGGAATGAAATGGGAGCAAGAAGCTTTTGTGATCTGTTCTCACAGATGGATATGAACCTCATCAGTCAATCAGGCAATCTTCTTCTTTAAAGGGGAAATCCGTCAATTTTACACATGAAGATGTCAGTCAGACTTGACTCAATACCACTGTGTTTAAATAAATAAAAAAGGAATTAACAGCTGTATACTACTGACTCTGTATGGATGTGAAATGATTGCAGTCATCTTCGCAAACACCAGAAAACAGGGTTAGTAAACAGTAGACAGCAGCATGGAGGCCAGAGAAAATGTTATGGTAGTTACTTCTTTTTTTTTTTTTTATCTGTAGCTTTTTCAGTCTCTTTCAAACTCAGACTAAGTGCAGACTAATTTGTGACAATGTTCGAGCACTGCTTGGACCGTAATGAGCAAAATTTGTGGCTGAGATGACAAAGAAGTACAGAAGTCGAGTTGATAAATACTCGTGACTACTGTCATTTGTCCTGGATATGAAAGACGACTGTAACCTTTCAGGCAAAAGCCAGATATCAGTGAGAGTTAGTTGTGTATTTAAACTTGTGCAAACAGTTGGATGTCTTCTGTGGCTCTGCACACAGCTATTAAAAGTTTGAGAAAGCCTGCATCACAAAACAGGGGTGTGGAGTTTGGAGGATGTGTGCGCTGTGCCCAGCACTCGTAATTACGAGATTCGGACAACATCAAAGTTGTAATTACAACTTGTAAACTTTTCTGTAAACTCCAAGTTAGCGCTTCATAACACAAACGTTCCTGTAAATCAAGCACATAAAAACACCTACCAAACATCAACCAAAGGCTATTTAATTTAACGGATATAGTGTTATATTGTCAGCTGACTATTTTATAATTCAAGATGAAAATTAATTGATTCACACTGGGATTTTTTTGGTACTTTGAATGTAAATATGGCATCAGAGTGTATAAAAAATGTCTTGAAATGTCCTGTGACGTGAATACTTCCTGGTTAATGCAAGACTGAATACCATCTATGGAAGAGACCCTCCAACCAGGATGGAAATCTCTTACGTCTGAGACGCAACTTACTCACACACTGGGATTTTTTGGGGTAATTCAAATGTAAATATGGCGTCAGAGTGCATAAAAATAGAGCTGTTTATCCGCTACATTAAGCCACTGTATTTATCACCTCACCCCTGACAGAGGTCCAGGCTGAGCCCTGTTCTGTCCTCAGTTCCTAGAAACTGGCCCCAGGGTCCTGTTATTTTGCAGACAAAGCCCCTGGTCAGAGCCAATTGTGTATCTCTGGTCTAACAGATAAGGAAGACACAGTGCTTTGAGGGTTTCAGGCAAAAATAATGGACTTACCGTCAAGATATCTACTTTCTGCAACTTATTAGTGTCTGGCAAGCTCCCTAATTCTATGGAAATGCAATTTAAAAATGGCTGGATTACTTCTTTTAGCATGCAACTCTTCTTCCTGGGTTAGTAAACCTGTCCAGACTAGCCCTGGGTCATATTATAATAATGTCAGTGTCTTATCAGCACCACTACTGCAGTGTGACACCTTTACACTCCTGCAGTGACACCACCAGGTTGACGTTAGGCCCCTCCTGCTCACATCATGGTGCCTTCAGTGTAACGTTACTCTCTTACCTGAGTAAGAGTTGAGTTGACCAGCTCGCCGTAGTTGAACTCAGAGGACCCCCGGTCATTGGGCTCGGACAGCGGGAGGTTGAGGCGGACTGTGGGCTTCGCCTCCCCGGTGTCCCCATCACCCCCCTTCGTGTTCCCAAACGGACCTCCGCAACCTCCTGACCCGACCACCGCCGCCGCACTTCCACCTCCATCTTTCCCAAAAGTGATATCGACGGCCTCATCTTCGCGGCGGCGCTTCTTGCTGGATTCCGGGGTCGTCTGCGGCGGCGACGTATTGAAGGAAGAGATGGTGACGAACGGCACTTTCCTCGGCTCGGCCATTTGACGCTCTCCGTCCGACGAGCGGGCACGCAAAACGGGCAGCGCCACGCTCCTGTGAGCCGCCGCTGGTTGGAAGGCTAAATCCGGAGATGGTCGACAAGTAGAGCTAGCTTAGCCGCTCTGCTAGCTAGCTTCCTCAGAATGAGTGCTGCAGGCAACACAATGACTTTTATCTCCTCTCCGCCCGTTTTAATCCATAAAGAATAATCCGTGTCGCGGCCCTCGTCACCTACGAGGGACTTAAACAGTGAGAAAAACCAGTTTTGAGTGGTTCCATGAAATTGGAGGTTAGCTACCGCAAGGAGGATTCTGTAGTAGCCATCTTGATCATTATTATCATTATTCAGGGGCTGGGCGTGCAAGTCAAAGAAACCGGAAGCAGCGGAGGAAAGGGAACAGCGCTCGTCCAATCACAGAGCAGAAACACGCCCACCTGACACACGAGCGCGAATCTACAGAGTGATTGTTCTGCACAGGCGGGATGTCCGGACCTTGAATGCCCCTTTGACTGTTTACTACAGGAAGATTTACATTAGTTGTTTGTTTATTTGTTTAGCAGGTTCCCCCGGGCACATTATCATAGCAGATAACCACGTTTCCCTCAGGGTGAAACACACACAGACTTTGTTGAGGTCACACATCTTTCTAGGGACTGTTCTTCACTTATCAGAGGATGGGGGCGGCTAGTTCTGACCAATGATTTGAAACCATTTTATGTTGTGTCACATAACTCACACAAGTTTGAATGCTAGAATATGTGTTTATTTACTGTGATGTTACTACTGCGAGCAGTGTTTCTGTTACGGTGTGAGCAGAGTGTATCCTAAGGCTGCGTTTACACGGAAACGATCCACTGAAAACAGAAGCGTTTCTCGTTTTCGTTTTGAAAAAAGTTCCATGTTCAGATGACAGTGTTTTATAACAATCGTCATTCACACGGATCCACAAAAATGACCAAAAACGCTGTAGTTTACGTGCCAAGCAAGTAGGTGATGTATAAAAAAACAAAATGGCAACTTTCTCGCACATGCCTAGTGACTCGAACCGTAATGCTCATGAGTCTCCGTTTTCAGAGGAACTGCATATTGCAAGCCACCCAAAACGTTGCTGTCGTGTAAACGATCAGCCAAAACGCAACTGAAGTTTATAGTTTTCGGTTGAAATCATTGTCGTATGAACAGGACCTAACTTACTTGTGCTGTGTGTTTTAGTTTCGTGTTTTAATCGTTCACGACTAAAATTTATTACGATATCTTGTTTTGACTCGCTTCATACGCACAAATAACTAATGTCATAAGCACATGAAGTTCCTTTTTATTTTTATTTACTTACCTAACTTTTATTTACCCAGGGAGTCCCATTGAGATTGAAAATCTCTTGGCCAAGGTAGCAACCAATCAAAACACATTAAAATGCAACAAATACAACATACAATACAAACATCGACAATAAAACCACAACTAGCTATTCAAACATATATTTAAGTATTTTTATATTAAAACATATAAACTCTTGAAGATCCACTCACTCATAAAAACTAAAGTGATGGTCAAAGTTGTCACAGTGAAATTTAAGGTGTGCTGATGGATTCCCGTCATCAACTCATGCATTGAGTAACATTACAAGTTAACGTTCCACCTTAAAAGTTGCCGGCAGTTGGCCCAGTGAATGAAGTTATTTTTTCTCAGACTCCAGCTGCTGTGAGAGGCAGCAAAACATCCTTTCATTTTATAGTTACAGTTTACTAATAAAACTCTCCACAGTATGAACAGTGGTTACATGAGCCTCAAAACCAGACACAACTCAGCCCTGAGCAGAGTGACCGTCCTCTACTGACCAATCAGACTGCAGTGTTCACTGCTCCACCTTTTAGTACCAGATCTGTGTGCTAGGTACCCCAACAGAGGGGGGACCAGACATGGGGACGCTAAGGAACGTTTCCACTGTTTCCATCCACAACTTTTCACTGTGGAAACTGAAAAAAGCGTACTGAACTGTACTGAACTGCTTGATGGAAACAGATGCTCTATAGATGTGACAAATAAGCACAAACTGAACAGGTTTAATTTAGAATAAGCATTTTCCAACATGTAAGTATAGAGTATGGGATTAGCGGTCGACAGAGTGCAGGAGAACTTGACTTATTTTGACATAAGTAGATCCGTAGAATTTGATAAAATGTTCATATTGAAATAAAGACATCAGTTATTCAAATTTAAGGCTAATGAATGATATTCAAAGCCTGACATTTATAAAATTAAAGACATTTTAAGACTTTTTTAAGGACTCGCAGACACCCTGGTTCGCCATTCTCTGCTGAGGAAAGCAAGAAAAACGAATTCAAGGTAACAGTGTGATTAATTGATACATAAATTGTCCATCTTGTTGGTCAAGTATTTATTTAAGACCTAAATGACCTGCAGACACCCTGATCTCACTTAACCACGTCAATGGTGTATATTGCCACTAATTTTAAAACTAGATTTTTCTTTTCACCTTGTCTGTACGTTTGCTATTTTTAATGTTTTTTTTAAAAACTTAATATCATTTAATTTTTACTTTTTGTATCTTTTTTCTCTTCACTCTTTTCTATATCATGTTTTATATTGTATTGCTCTGTAAAGCTCTTTGAATTGTCCTTGTGTATGAAATGTGCTATATAAATAAAATAGCTATATAAATAAGTCTTAGACTTTAATCAATAAACAGAAGTTTGACACAAAATGAATTCCCCTTAAACAGTGGTATTGATAACCTTGCCTTTACTGAATATTCTCTATATTTTCTCAGTAGCAGTATTCATTATTCCAAGTCACAGGTTCCACTGGTGTCACCACACCGCCTTACATTTTTTTTTAAATTTTTTATCTATTCAGTCAAATCTGAACAAACCAACAGTACTGTTAATGAAAGCCAACAAATCCACAGGCCCCTGGTAGTCTTTGACCCTTTGATAACTTCACACCAAAGACCAACCACTACCTCAGTTTTACTCCTGCAATTTTTATCTTATTTAATAAACCATTTTTATAAATGTATTATTAAAATATTTTAACAAGATTTATATTTCCATTTCTTTAATTTTGTACTACTTTTTTGTATACATTTCATATTTCTATATTCTATTGTCCAAATGTTTGATTACTTGCCACTCTAACAAAAGAATTCCCCAGTTTGAGATCAGAAGTTCTGTCTAGCTATGTATCAAATCATTACAGTGTTGTGTTATGTTAGTATGACAATTTCAGATTCCCTCCATTTTTCAAGATCTGGAGGGGATGCATTTTTCCCAGACTCTGAGGATCATTTGACCCCGACGTTTATCACGACAAGGTCATATTGTGGTACATTTGTCATTAGATCTTGAAACAGAACAAGATTACAGTTAACAATGACTTTCACACAAATGAATCAGAAGAAAATCAGTCAATGTGTGAAAACAGTTTTATTGTTGCCATAGTCAATGATTTTAAGACCAGTCAGAGGCAGCACCACCCCAGTCAGATGCCTGAGCAGTGGGGGCGGAGGACCAGTCCTCTGTGGCAGGCTGACTGCTCCAGTCCTCTGTAGAGGGGAGAAAAAAAAAAAAAAAAATTAACATTGTGTAGTGGAAACGAACACTTTTACATGTTCGCGTATTGAATATTCATGAAAGACTCACCAGAAAATACTTCACCTGTCTTTACAGCCGGAGCAGCTGTAACAGAGATAACAAGCAGGTTAGTGTCAAAGAATGAACATCAGATGGCAGCTGTGGTCACACTTGGTCGATCAACAGTTAACTCTTACCTGCGGGGAACTGCTGGATGGGCACAGATGGAACAGCAACACCCTCAGACCAATCAGCAACCTCGGGCTGGGCGAACTCAGCTGCAGGAGCGCTCCATTCTCCCTGGAACTCCTCCTTTCCAACAGCCTTCTCAGCTGCAGCCTGCTCCTCCTTCTCAATCTGCATTAAAGACACGTCCATTAGATCAGTTTCACACAGCAATCTAACCTACTGTACGTTTATCAAGGTGCGCTGCACGTGTCTTACCTCCTCGGGATCTCTGTAGAAGTACAGATCGGGCATGACCTCCCAAGGGTGCTCCCTGGAGATGGTTCCCCTCATCCTGAGCACCTCCCTGGCCAACATCCACCACATCAGACCCACAGAGTGGTGACCCTGCAGCACAGTCACAGATTAGCCACGGATAACCACAGTTAAACTGTATTATATACTCCATGTTTCATCCACAGAGGCATTCTGTGGCGAGACCTCTACTTCCATCCCCGTGTGGTTCACAGAGAGGAGGTGAGAGGTCAGGCGTTTTTATTTAGCACACGTCCTACACCCCGCACCGCACAGACAGGACAGCGCCGGGCTCTAACGGTGTGCAGATGACTCAAGTATATTAAATATAGGAATGACTTTCTAATTTCTTTCCCTGTAGGTCAACAAGGTAGGACACCCTAACCTCTACATTCAGTTTCTATTCATGCATTTCTTTGTAATTCCCTTCTTTATTTGAACATTTAACTGGGTATTACACAAAAACATTTTGCGTGTACATGACAGATTCTTTTGTTTCTTAGGTCTCACCTTGTTGTTGCAGGGGATGGCGATGTCCACGTATCTCAGTGGGGAGTCGGTGTTGCACAGGGCAATGGTTGGGATGTTGACGTAGGAAGCCTCAGTCAGTGGCTGATGGTCAGCACGAGGGTCTGTCACAATCAGGAGACGGGGCTCTCTGAAAGCTGCCTGGATCTGATTGGTGAAGGTACCAGGGGTGAACCGACCGTGGAAGGTGGTGGCGCCGGTGGCAGAGGCGAACTTCAGCACTGCTCTCTGAAGTAGTCAGAAAGAAAAGAGTCAAACTCAAGATCTCAACGAAACTGCTCATTATTTTTATTAGACAACTTGAACTGTGGCTCAGGTCACTATCAAACCCCAGTCATGGGACAGCAGTCCTCATAGTGTTAGCGAAAACCCGGCCCGCTCACTCTCGCACACTTCCGACACCGGAACACTGACGTCAATGCCCGGCTTTAACAGTGTGCATATCATAGTGTGTGTACAGCCGTGTAAAGCATCAGAGTGTTTACCTGTCCAGTGTTCCTGGAGGAGATGACGCACACATCACCTGGGTTTTCAATGGCAACAATGGCCCTGGCAGCCAGCAGCAGCTTCTCCCAGGTCTTCTTCAGGTTAATGATGTACACACCTGGTGATTGAAGGGGAACCCCAGAGCGTTAAGAGAAATCCTAACTTCATAGACATTGATAATTTGGTAAAGTATCACTATGGTGCAGAGAGCCCTGAAATGTTTTACTGTTTAAACTTTTAACATGTCAAAGTTTACAACAA